CAGGGCAGATGCAAACATTTAGAAAATCAGGCAAATACCTTTTCAGTTTAAGGCTGTTTTGTTCTACTGACACAACTGAAATGCAGTGAGCGCACACCATGGCACTGGTGGCCTGTTGGAAAGCAGCCTAACCCTACCAGCTGTTATTTATTCAGGAAACAATCTTATTGGAGATGCACAGAGAGAAAATACAGGTGGATGAAACAGTCCTGTTGGGTTTTACGCATGATGCACAGCTTCCTCTGTATGTAGGTTTAGCTGCTTCAACAAGGAGCTGCTCCGTGTTACTGCCACAATAATTCTTTGCATTGTAAAGATTACTTAGATGCTTTAGGAATAATCAGATTGTTTTGGCTGCCTGTGCTGCTGCAAAGCAAGTGGTTTGGTTGGCTACACATTAGTGCTAAAGTAGTGTAATGGAAATATGTCCTGTAGTGAGTCTTCTGAAATAAAGAGTCCAATCCAGATGTCTTTTAAGGGTTTTATTCTTTGTAAAGGGTCAGACAGACATACAGAGTGCAAACAGTCTGCAGAGTGTAAGACAAAGAGCCGGTGAAGAAACGGGTGACTTTATACTGTAAGGGTATTACTCAGCTGTGTTAGGGAGGAAGGGAGTAGGGACCAACTGTCCTGAGATGAAGGCCTATCAGTCAGATAAGAAAACTCTCTAACGAGCATCTTTCCCATGGGAAGCTTCACCTAGCTGTAACATAATACAGTTTTTCTCAGTCGCTTTGGTGCATTTCTCGAATCATCCTTAACATTTGCAAAACAGGTAGTACAAACGGCACAACACAGTGGATTACCTGCAAAAGCCCATAACTTGCTCAAAATCCTTAGTCTATCTCTCAAAAGCAAATCTAGGATGACAAGTCCTTGTGTCTTGTTTATGAACAAGCAAGTCAAAATGTTTAGCCATCTTGTCAATATAACAGTGTACTACATTTTTGTGTATACTACAAGATTTTGATGACAATGATTGAAAATGCACAAGGTTGCACTTTTTTTTGTATGGCATATATCACTTTCACCAGTATTCAATTCAATTCAATTCAATTTTATTTATATAGCGCCAAATCACAACAACAGTTATCTCACAGCGCTTTTCATAAAAGAGCAGGTCTAGACCGTACTCTGTGATGATATTTACAGAAGCCCAACAGTTCCCACCAAGAGCAAGCACTAGGCGACAGAGGCAAGGAAAAACTTCCTTTTAAGAGGCAGAAACCTCGAGCAGAACCATGGCTCAGGGTGGGCGGCCATCTGCCTCGACCGGTTGGGGTGAGAGAGAGAGAGAGAGAGAAAGAGAGAGAAAAAGAGAGTGAAAGAGAGAGAGAGAGAGAAGAGAGAGAGAGAGAGAGAGAGAGGGATGTAAGGAGAGAGAGAGGGGAGGGAGGCAGCCTACACAATATACACACAGAGGTACAGACAGCGAAGGTAATGTTGCTATAAACTAAATGAAAAATGGTACAGATATTATAATAGTGTTAATGGTAACCATCGTAATGTTAATGATTATAATAACAATAAGACTAGCAACAATAGTCGTTGCAGTAGAGGGTGTCGAGCAGGAACACGGGGGCAGCAGGCGACCCGCAGCCACAGATCCAGACTCCACAGCTCCAGAGCCAGAAAACCTGCAGGAAGTGATAGGAGGAGAGAGGAGAGGGACGAGAAAGCACAAGACTACCAGAAAGGGGAGAAGTTGTGTTAGTAACATGCAATAATGGGATAAGGTTGCATACAGAGGGAGAGAAAGTAGAGGAGAGAGGAGCTCAGTGCATCATGGGAAATCCCCCGGCAGTCTAGGCCTATAGCAGCATAACTAAGGGATGGTTCAGGACTACCTGAGCCAGCCCTAACTATAAGCTTTATCAAAGAGGAAAGTCTTAAGCCTACTCTTAAATGTGGAGATGGTGTCTGCCTCCTGAACCCAAACTGGAACCTGGTTCCACAGGAGAGGAGCTTGATAGCTGAACGCTCTGGCTCCTAGTCTACTTTCGGAGACTCTAGGAACCACAAGTAACCCTGCATTCTGGGAGCGCAGTGCTCTGGTGGGGTAGTAAGGTACTATGAGCTCTTTAAGATAAGATGGTGCCTGACCATTAAGAGCTTTGTAGGTAAGAAGAATGATTTTAAATTCTATTCTGGATTTTACTGGAAGCCAATGCAAAGAAGCTAAAACAGGAGAAATGTGATCTCTTTTCCTGGTTCCTGTCAGAACACGTGCTGCAGCATTCTGGATCAGCTGAAGAGTCTTAATGGACTTTTTCGAGCAGCCTGATAATAAGGAATTGCAGTAATCCAGCCTAGAAGTAACAAATGCATGGACTAGTTTTTCTGCATCATTTTTAGACAGGATGTTCCTGATTTTCGCAATATTACGTAGGTGAAAAAAGGCGGTCCTTGAAATTTGCTTAATGTGGGACTTAAACGACATGTCCTGATCAAAGATAACTCCAAGATTCCTCACAGTGGTGCTGGAGGCCAAGGCGATGCCATCCAGGGAAACTATATCTTTAGATAATGCGTCACGGAGGTGCTTAGGCCCCAGAACAATAACTTCAGTTTTATCTGTTTAACATAAGAAAATTACAGCTCATCCAGGTTTTAACATCCTGAAGGCACATTTGAAGTTTAGCTAACTGATGAGTTTCATCTGGCTTGATCGATAGATATAACTGAGTATCATCTGCATAACAATGAAAGCTTATGGAATGTTTCCTGATAATATTGCCTAAAGGAAGCATATATAAAGTGAAGAGGATTGGTCCAAGGACAGATCCTTGAGGAACTCCATGAGTAACTTTGGCGTGCATGGAGGACTCATCGTTAACATGTACAAACTGAAATCGATCTGATAAATAGGACTTAAACCAGCTTAGAGCGGTTCCTTTAATGCCAATGAAATATTCCAGTCTCTGCAATAGGATCTGATGGTCAATGGTATCAAATGCAGCACTAAGATCTAATAAAACCAGTACAGAGACAAGTCCTTTGTCTGATGCAATAAGGAGGTCATTAGTAATTTTCACCAGTGCTGTCTCTGTGCTATGATGAGCTCTAAATCCTGACTGAAAATCCTCAAATAAACTATTGCTCTGTAGAAAGTCACACAGCTGTTTAGCAACTGCTTTCTCCAGAACCTTAGAGAGAAATGGAAGGTTAGATATAGGTCTATAGTTTGATAAAACATCCGGATCAAGTTTGGGCTTTTTCAGAAGAGGTTTAATTACAGCTACTTTAAAGTACTGTGGTACATAGCCTGTTGATAAAGATAGATTGATCATATCTAGTATAGAGGTGCTGACTAAGGGTAAAACATCTTTAAGCAGCCTAGTCGGGATGGGGTCTAAGAGGCAGGTTGATGGTTTAGATGAAGAATTATTGAAGTTAGTTGGTAAAGATTGAGGGAAGCAAAACAGTCTAAACATGTATCTGGTTCTACAGCTGTTTCTAAGGTTCCTGAGTTAAGAGTACAAAGTTATACATTGCAGGAGAGAGGAAAGAAATCACAGCTATGCTTTTACTGTTCGTACTGTAATTTGTTGACAGAGCATGTCATTGTAAGAAGAAAAGAAAGAGACAGGACTGTTGCATGGGATACACCCCTTTGGCTGACGTTCCAGTCTGTTGTATCACAGATTCTCTTCCAGATCACAACAGATATCTTCATCAATTCATGACATATTTACATAAAAATTCTAATAGACATGTATAGAATGTCTATCTATATATATATATATATATATATATATATATATATATATATACACAGAAGCCCTAATCAAATATTTTTTTACTCAACATTTTCTCATGATTTCGAGTTAAAGCTCGAAAGCCTGCAGATAGTGGCCCTGCAGTGGCAGCTAGTGGCTCTCGCAGTGGTAATGCTGGTAATTGCTTTGAAAATATCCTAAAGAAACGCACCTGCCAGCCCCTGTATTCAGCTATGGTTTGTTATCTCGTGATCACAAGAAAATTAATTATCCCGTTCTCAGGGGAAAACAACATTTGTTTTATAGATATATACATATATTACTGCTCACTGTGGATTGTATTTCCTGCCTGGTATTGAGTATTGGTATGAGTGTTGCTATTGTGATGTTGTTGTGGTCTATTCTTTGTTTATGATCCTTAAGAAACAACATTTCATTTAGCTATATACTTGTAGGCAAAGGATATGAATAAAGTATTTTAACTTTGATTTTTGATAACGTGTTCAACCATTTTGCATGTAGTGACTAATGCAATGAATTTATGCCTAGATGTTTTGGGGGGTAAGATTATTCAACAGCGACTGGTATAATTCATTGTGATCTGCAGGAAAATGTAGGATACAGCAGACAATTGTACATAATCATTTGCATCAGTGTGTCAAGTCATTTGCAATTTGTTCAAAACAATGAGAAAGTGCTTTTATGATGTGCACAAGTGACGAGATGATGTGGAGGTTCAACAATTAGTTTTGAGAATTTTAATTCTGATCTGAGAAATGCACCAAAGTGACTGAGAAAAACTGTATTATAATCAATAACCACACAGTGAAACATTTAAATAATCAAATACCACACAGTGAAACATTGGTCTATTCTGATGAAGCATGCAGGGTGAAACAGTAAACACAGTAAAATATCAAATTTCCATCACAGTAGCTAACCATCTCCTGGCTGTAGCTTCATATTTAACATACAGGTACGAGAGTGGTATCAATCTTCTCATCTAACTCTCAGCAAGAAAGCAAAAAAAAAATGTCACAATATTTCTCATCCTTCCACCTGAAACTGCCTGGACTCTTTCTGCACATGAAGCTGTGATGCTACAGCCTTTAAGTAAGAATTAAGCATGACACCTGTACATTACAAAATGAGCTTTTCTCCATCTCTTACTAGATCTCTAAGTTTCACAAACATTTTGTTAAAGAGACAATCATTGTTGATCAAAACCATCACACTGTCAAACCTGAAGCCAAATGAGCAAACCATTACCCAAGCAAGTTATTTTGCTGAAAAATTTAGAAATTATATGGGAAATCTGATGCCACATGTTCTCTTGCAATATCTGCATCTTCTTTTTTCTTCCAGAAGGCATCCAGAGAAAAGTAATACAAGAGTGGATCTAGGCAGCAGTTCAAAGTAGCAAGACATATAAAAGGCGTAAGATCAAATTTGTTAACTTTAAGTAAACCAACCGACGCAGGCAAGAAACATATGGTGAACATAACCAAGTTCATAACAAAAATCAGCATGGCATTCACCTTGTTGTTGACCCTTGCAGAGTCATTCAGATGTCTGTGTAGAGTCCAAGAGACCATTACAGTGCACACAACAATGACTGCCAGCAAGGTGAGCACTAGCACAAGCTGAAAATAAACCATTGCTGAGCTAAGAGTGCCCAGATCATGACGTAATTCAAAACAGTAGGATCCGTTGTTGCTTGCATTTTTTGAAAAGGCTACAATCTCTGGGATGTTCACCACCAACACAAACAGCCAAACGAGTGCAACAGCTTTCCAGGCGTGGGAAAGGGTTCGAAGATGCCGTGACCTCAGAGGATAAACCACGGCCAGCAGTCGGTCCACGCTGATGAAGGTGATAAAGATGGAGCTGGAGCGGATGTTGTTGCGAAAGAGCATTGTGACGGACCAACATGCCGCAGCGCTCAGTGGCCAAGTGCCGGTGGCATAAAAGTAGACCCTCATGGGCAAGGAGATGACGAGCAGCAGGTCTGACATGGCCAGGTTGACCATGAAGACAGCAGTGGAGGATTTGAGCCTGTGGTGTCTAAGCAGAGTCCACAGTGACACAGCATTGAGAGGCAGTCCAATTGCCATAATACAGCCAAAGACAATAGCATAAGCAGGCTTTCGCTCGATTTCACCAGCCACAGTGTTGTTCATTTCGACCTGTTGAGAAAAGCAGTGTTGCAGCACTGTGCTTCACTTAATAGGACACATTAGTTCCTTCCTCTTCTCTTTATCTGTGTGCAGTGAGGTTAGACATTGAAAATGGGTGGGTTAAAAATGTAAGAGGAAGTGGAGGGAATGTGACCCAAGTGACTCAACTCAGAAGCTGTAGGCTAACTGTGACATTAATAAATTAACCATTTTTTCTTTGAATTTTGTGCAAATGTGCATCTTTAGAATGTAATTCTTGCTACAACCTAACATATTTAAAGTTATTTGACATAAGTAGTGCACATAATTGACATAAGGGCTTTCATGCACATAATCTTATCATGAAAGGGTGAGTTTTAATCAGTTAAACACTGTGATTTTAACTTAAAGCTGCACTTATCAGTATTGTCATGCTACCACTGGATCAAATGACACATCTCTTCAATATAATGCTATTAGGCTAACAGTTTGCAAACACATTTGTCATAACACCTTTACAAATGGATGTGTCAAATGTTTTTTTTAAGCTTGTTCTGCTCCCTCTAATAATTTATATTTATATTCATATATTTTCACATGCACCTTTTGTGTGCACTACATGTTCTAAAATAGGAACTCTATGTTTCTTTATTAGTTTAAGGGAGTTTAAAACGGAACTGTCAACATCTTACCAACAGTGAAAGCACAACTTGTCATTGGTTAAAAAATTACTTTCATTACTTTTTCAAATGTCACATTATCTGATTGGAAAATGCCCACAGCCTATTGTGACTAGATTGCTGTTAAAAATGTACCTTGTTGGGTCACGTGTAGTCTGCATGTGCCTGTTCAAAGAGTGCTCATGCAGATTGCTACCTCAAATTGGAGCTCAGGATGTGGGTTGTGAGTGTGATCACAGGAAACTGCCGGGTGTAGTAGTGAACATATATCATGATACTTGTTCTAAGTAAATTAGAAAATGTTAGAAAGTTATACTCTGGGATCCTTTACCAGGGTAATCACCTGGGGGGTCCAGAAAAAAAGGACCGACAATACCCCCATATGTTGCAACTTACAATAAAAATAAAGTAAATTTTGTTCTGTTCATTTCAGTTCAGTGTGGTTTATAGGCTTATTTCACACGGGCCGCCATGATATAAGCGTATTGGCATGATAAAATGTTGCTAATGCAGTTTGCTTCAAAATCAAAAAAGGCCCAAGCCGGCCCAGGGTGGGCGGAGGGAGGACAGGAGGAGGGCCAGACCAGGAACTCTCAGGTGGGTGGCCAGAGGGCAAGGCAAGGGGGCGACAGAGTTTGGGAGCTCGCACAAGCAGGCCAAGGGGACAAAACAGTTCTGGGAGCCGTCCCGGAGGGCGACCCAGGAGGCCGTGCAGACCAAAGGGATCACGGAGTTCAGGAGTTCGTCCTGGGGGACGCCCCGACAGGCTGAGCAAATCAGGGGGAAAACACAGTTCAGGAGGCCGTCCCGGGTGGCCAGAGGTGAACAAAAGTTCAGGAGGCAGTCCCGGAGGTCGACCAAGCAGACCAGGAGGGCAAAACAGTTCAGGTGGGCATCCCGCGGGACGATCCATGAGGCCGGGCAGACCAGGGGGGAAACAAAGTTTGGGAGGCCGTGCCGGAGGTCGACCCAACAGGCCGGGCAGAACAGGGGGACCACAGAGTTCAAGGGGTTGGCAGGGCGGCCAACAGTGAGGCAGCAAACCCACTGGGGGCCGAGCAGGAGGCCGACGGCAAGACCTCTCCGGAGGTTGGCACCCAAAGCTTGGGTGCTCTGGAGGCACAGCTGGGCTGAGGACCACCGGCGAATTAATTTCCTGCAATCTGGTGAGAATTTCTGCTTCAATTTATGGTGGAAATGTTTTCTTTATATAAAGAGAAACACAAAATTCAGGTGCAATAGAATATAAAGTAGTGACGCTCTCAGGCATCATCTGTTGCTATTAAATATGTTTCTCCTGTAGATCAACTTATTTAATATCATCCCTGCTGAGTCAAAACACGATTTAGTTTTCTCTCCTCTTATGTGTCTTTTGTTTGGGGAAGTGACCTCATTGACTGGACTTTTAATAGCTACTTGATCTGTTTCAGCAGGTTTTCTGCTCATGTTCAAAACTTTCTTCACATTCAGAATCTCTCCCTTATGTTTCTGATATGTTGAGAAAAAAAAGTCGCAATATTACAAGACATCACCATTTAATAAGAATTCAAAAATGTTTTACTACCTGCCCTATACTGCTGTTCATCATGTTATTGTTTCGGTGGTAGTATCCCCTTGACCATCTAATATACACAGAACAGGAAGAGACGAGGAGGTGCTCATGCAGTGTGGGAACGAAACTAACAACATCCGTGATCAGGCAGAAATATTACCACAGATTCTTTGATAAAGTGCAGCTCAAAATCTCAAACAGAGCCAGGTTGTGCTTGAGTTTCTAAGAAGAGAAGCATCCATTTTCCAGAGTTTACACAGTAAACGGGTAACAGCTGTGCCACAAGTTGCCAAGACACTGAAGAGAAATAGAGTTACAATCCACCGTCTGTCCAGTGGAGTAAACTGGCAGGGTTTAATGTTGCAGACCACAGGTTTTTTGCAAGTAGTTGAAAGTTTAAACTCGTATTGTTTTAAATCTTTTAATCTCTTTTAATCCCCCCCCCCAATAGCATCTCAACTCAAGCCCCCCTTTCCAAAATATTGCTTTCAGCACCCTCCGTCGTCCTCTGCACACCCCCGTTGAGAAACACTGCTGTACCTGATATGGAGGCACTGGTTGCTTGTCTTTTATTGGGTTTTTTTGGGTCAGTGACGGAGACAAATTCACTGCTGGCCCTGGTGGATAGAAGTTCCGAGGCTACTGACACAGGAGGGTTGGTTAGCCTGTCAACAGTAGCAAATATGGCACGTGCATTATTATTGTTTTTTGATGTCAGAGAAGAAGAAATTCAACTAAAACCACATATTCAAAAGAAGCGACATTTCCATAAGACATCTTGCAATAAAGTCGTTAAAAAATATGGCAGCTCCTTTCTTATAGGGGTAAACCGGGGCGAAAGTAACATGGGACAAAAGTAACAAGGCTATTTTCTCAGTGTCAGTCTTATTTTATTTTAATCATGTCAGGTTCATAAACAATCTCCATCTAACCACTTCCCTCCTGTTTTAGGTGCACACATTTGCATATTTATTATATATTTATAATATATCCTTAATATAATGTGAAATATTCTAAACAATTGGGCTGTCAGGTTACTTTTGAAACTGAATATTTAAAATAAAAATGTAATTACATTTCGAAGGTAACAATGTGCCACTTATGTTTAAAGTGAAATTATACAGAAGTCTTTCTACATTTGTACAAAATACCACCTGATATTGATAGACCACACCTGTGAGTTAGTGACCACAGCAAAAATATATCTCTGTCTGAAACCTTATCTTTTAAAATCATGTGCCCCTGCTCTCCCATACACTCTACCTTTGCTCATAAAATGATATGCAGCCTGCCTCTGCCTCGCTCTCTCACTTCATGAAGCTCTTGAAAACTTATCTCTTCCGAGAACACTTTCTCTTATAACACCTCTAACATGCACTTCCTGTACCCTTCTTCTTCTATCGTAATTTTTCCGGGGCTTTAGCCCCGAATGTAACTCAACAACAGCAACAAAATATTTTCCATGCCCCCCCCCCCCCCTTTAGAGAGAGCACGAGATCGACAGAGAGATAGCGCGCATTGCTCACAGCTTCAGGGCTTGTCCGCGACTTCTGAATTGCAAAATTGTAATCAAACATAAATGTTTTCGGTCAGTGTCTATTTAATGTGTTAACACACAGGCAAATATCAGCCTATAATATTCTTTTTTGCGGTTGCAAATGTTGTGAGTAATTTTGTGTGAATGGATTGGGGTAAACGGGTGGCACTGTGGTAAATGCTGTCACAGTTGTGCAGTGGTTAGCAAAGGTAGAGTGTATGGGAGAGCAGGGGCAAAAGTACCATTTCTCAGAAAAACATGATTTTAAAAGATAAGGTTTCAGACAGAGATATATTTTTGCTGTGGTCACTAACTCAAAGGTGTGGTCTATCAATATCAGGTGGTATTTTGTACAAATGTAGAAAGACTTCTGTATAATTTCACTTTAAACATAAGTGGCACATTGTTACCTTCTACCCCACCAGCTGGGTCAAAAGTAACACAACAATTCAAGCTAGATTTTTTGTGTTACCACCATTGTATTTAATAAATGCAGGCTAGGTTGATTGGTTACCCTAAATTGTCCTTAGGACGCTCCTGGAGCTGTGAGCGTGAGTGGTTGTTCGTCTGGCCACTGGTGACCTGTCCAGGGTGTACCCCGCCTTGCGCCCGATGTCAGCTGGTATTGGCTACTGCATTACATTCAATTATATTTTTATATTCTGAATTGTCACCTGCCACCCAACTTATGTACTTCCCTTTATAAAAATAAAGACATTTCCACCATAAATTGGTGCAGAAAATGTCTCCAGAATGCAGGAAATTAATTTTTTAATGCTCAAAATCTTCTGTCTTACTGCATTATATTACACTAAATTATTTTATTTTGAATTGTCACCTCAGACATTTCAATAAATTGGTGCAAAAAAATGCAGGAAACTAAGTGTTTAAAGCCCAATTTTTTCAGGGGGAGGACCCCCAGACCCCCCCTAGTGGATATTATCAGTGTTCAATATTATCAGAAAATGGGACAGATGTTTGGGTTACTGTGTAGAGGTCATTTACTGTTGCTTTACAGACGTACTTTGGGCGGCAACAGGGGGTGGGGATGAAAACAAGTGAAAACCATAGACTGTATATAAAAACGTGAAAACATGAAAGATTTGTGGGCTGGGCTAAGCCCCCAATGTTTCAAGAGCCTGGAAACACCCCTGGTCTAAGAGTCAGTTAAAAACATGAAATTAGGATTGTGCTTGATGATAAAATCAGCAATTAAAACTGTTTTGTCCTGCCAAAGACCTGATGTTTACTAAAGCCAAATTTAGTGAGTTAAGAACATTATCTGTTTATTTCTTAACTGATAAGGAATTGATGCTAAATTTGCAGAATATTTTAAGTGTTTCTGATTTCTTAGCAGATTCACCAAAGTATTCGGCAACTTAGCTTGAAATTGTCAAACCGTAGGTAGCAACCTCGGGCCACTAAGATGCGGCAGCCACTTGGGGGATGAAATAATATTCCTTATTTCCTTATTATTAAAAGACATGCGAAGGCAGCTAGCAATACCATCATTGTAACCCCTTGCTGTGATTTAATGCTATGGATTGAATTAAAATAGAAGTAAGATTTGACTCAACATAAGCCTCTTTCAATGGGTAAACTCCCACTGACTCGTCAGACTATATATATATAAATATATATATACACACACACACACACACACACCAAAATATGATGGTCTGTTTCTATCATGACAAGCACAGTGTCCCTGTTCAGGCATGTGATTGGCAAAGGGCAAGAAAGCACACATACAAAGGCATGTGTCTTATAACTATAACAATTGTTCATGGTTGAAAGCTTTTTGCTGGTCGCACAAAGTTTACAACGGACGACATTGTTCTTTGCATCTTAGACTGTGACACAATAATTGCAATAATGTTACTTACAGCTGTCAAAAATACCTCTCTCTGACAGCTGACTTGAGCTGCGGCGCAGTCGCGCATTCACGTCAGGGATGATGCGTTCAGTAGCGCAGCGTTACTTGGATTAGTAACTGTAATAGCCTAATAGAACTGTTTAGTAAATAGTAATCCGTTACATTACTCTTTACTAGGAAAAGTAATATTACAGTATTACTGCCCAACATGTTACCACTGATCCGCGAGAGCTACTGTGGTACACACTGTGCAGGTGTGGAACTGGCAGCTGAACGCAACGGACATCCTTGTTGATACTTAGAAAGGAAGAAAACTTTACACACGTCAGCCTGAAGATGCCCTCAATTCCTTTCTAGTAAACTCGGCCAGTTCTTGTACCCCCTCTTCTTTTTTTTATTACAGATCTGCATGATTCACCTGGGTCAGATTTTCAGGTCGGAAAATCCGGAAAAATCACATCCCTGCCTGTTACACCAGTGAACACGCCCGAAGTCACAGCTACGGGGTTTTACTCTGTGGGCCTTTTTCCGAACCACTTCCACTCACACACGGATTGAACTCTGGTCGGAGTGACCCTCACAGCCAAATCGAACTCCCTAACCCGGCGTAGGGTTTAACAATTTGCATAGTGCATTTGCATTAGCTATCTCTTTTTGCTTATTATTCCATAAAACTCCACATTTAAAGCTCCCTTTTATATTATTGAAGTAAAAGTGCTGCTCATAGAATAAAATTATACATTGTCGCCTTTTCCACAAAACAGAGTAAAGTAAGTAGTAAAAGGAAATTTTATTTAGCTCAAGAGATTCAAAAAAATTCAAGAATCTGGAAATAGAGAATGTTCAACATTATTGCAAAAAAGAGTTGAACTGAAATTGATTATCAAAATTGTTGCTGGTTAATTATCTGATCAAGCAGTCAATTACTTTGTCTATTCAGCTTTATGAAAGATTATTATTATTTTGTGTCTGTTATATGTAGAAATGACAGAAGATGTTTAAGGTTTTGATACTAATAAAGGGAACTTGAATTGTAATAATGGAGTTGTATTTGTCAGGACTACTGTTGTTTGTTGAGTTTCCATTACATCCACAATACATTTTTTTGAGTAGATTTCCCTCAGAGTATAAGTTGTGCACAATTACATTTATTGAGTAAAGAATTAGTGGGATTTAATTTTAATAAGCATCAGTGAATCAATGTAATTTAGTATGCACAAATTAAATTAAAAAAAAAAATGTATTTAAGTTAGGGTTTACTCAAATATTACTACCACTACTATAAAAGTTTTAGGTAATCAGTAATCAGAACAAGAGGCGCTCTGCCTGGGTAATACACTAGCCAGTTGCATGACAAATCTCAGGGCGATTGGCTCTGTCTGTTAGTCGTCCTCCCATTTCCCAAGTAATATGTAGCTGCAGTACCGGAACTGCATTCTAGGACCCTTGTTTACGTTGATATTGCTGGCTGGGTAGCTAGCTATGTTACTCTTGACAGCCCCCCGAACCCAATTACCCTTACCACAACATCACAGAGTATATGCCTACACCTAACTTATTGATTATATGCATGTGGACCGGTTAACCCTACAGCTGCGTACATCCTAACATCCTTCCTAACATCCTTCGTGTTGCTGTGCATTACAACTACCACTCCACTAGATGGCGCTGTCGCAAAAGAACTATGGTCCTAGAACTGCGGTCCCAGGATTGTGGGGGTCCTGAAACTGCAGCCTCCGGTACTGCAGCTACATAATATTGTATTTCCCAGGGAAATTATTTAGGCCACTCTTAGGCATTGCACCAAGAGACTTCCAGGGAGGACTACCGCCTTTCTTAACTGGTGGATTTTGGTTTCAGCACTGCAGTTTTTCGTCAGTGGAGATAATTGCTGCCAATTAGCATTAGCTAAGTTCAATGTTTCCAGTGACTGCAGTCCAGGCTTGTGCCGTTGGTAGCCTGCACTCATGTAGTAGGCTACTGAGGAGATGTTGAAAATATAGTAATTGCCCACTTTATCTGAATAAATTACAGTCTCCATGATTTATAAGTATCCAAAACATAACAGACTGCTCAGAATTTCTAGCAAGAAAAAAATAAGGATATCAGCAAAAGAATGCAAGCAGAGGCGAGAATAAGCAGTAAAGCGTGTGTAAATGCCATTTTGGTGGTTGTAGTCTGGACCTTCCAAATCAGAGCAGTGGGGTGAAACAAAACCACAAGTACAACCTGACTGGGACGATCAAAGTAAAGACAGCCATGTTGCTTTTTATGCTCTGACTAGAGGTTCTCTTCTAAGGAATTAATGTACACATGTGTTGCCATGTGTACATTAATGCCTTTCACGAGACTTACACATGAACTAAAAGAGCTCAGTTTATGTGCAGTTTCAAGTACAGTTTGTGTTCACACCGTCATTCAGAATTCACTATGATCCCTCCTCTTGTATATCCTTCCAGTCTTGTATAAAGTCACTATCATGGAGGGAATCTATGATTAATATATCAGTTTGTATTGGTGCAGCCCGCAGTGGGTTCATATCTCCTTAAAGGTTTGGTTTGTTGTATGTAAATGTAATGGTTTTATCAGACTGATTCACAAACTGTATACCCAAAGCCAAACTTATCTCATATATGTGTATGTATTTGAAGAAAATAAGAATAAATTAAAACACTTCATGCGAAGACTACTGACGAAAGATAAAGCTCTTCTGTAGCAAGTCCACAGCTTAACAGATAGAATCAACATTCATGATGGACTACAGATAAGCAGAAGTGCAGCTGATTTCAGTTTTGGAGCTCAGCCCTTTTATCTTCTGAGAACTGTTTCCCTCTAACACTATGCACACACACAACAAACAAATGTTTATTTCATTAATTAATTAGCTTTATTGGATTGATTTATTGATTTATTGGATTAGTTATGTAATTGGTCATTTTGATTAGTTCATATTGCATTAGTAGATTGTTTTACCTTTGTTTGTAAAAATATAATTTTTATTATAAAAGAAGCAATTTGAAAAAAACAAAGGGGGGGGGGGTCAGTCCGTCCCTCTCACTGCTTCTACAAACTGACGCAGCACGAAAACTGCTCATGTAACTCAACCACTCCGAAAAAGCCATTATGAGGCAGAGATCTCATTACTTCACCAAGCTGACGCTCCGTTTTTATGTATGGCAGACACACACACACACACACACACACACACAATCTCATGACATGTCAAATGCAGATCATAATAATGCACAGGTCATATCAGTGTCCACAGTCACTCATCACCACAGCCCCTTCCAGGGACTATATAGGGAGCGGATGAGGGGCAGAGATCCTCCTGAGTCCTGCAGATTAGATATGCATTACATTTAGCTTGAGTATCCTGATTTGGTGGTAAAGATGCTTTTCTCACCAGCCCGCTGTCTCATCCTGCTGCTCCTCTTGAACTTTGTTGATGCTGGTGAGTGAGTTGCTGAATGCTCCACTGAATGTGATAACATTTACTCACAGATTCATGTTTGATTGTATCCACTATCCTAAAACAAACAGACTTGACCGCTTGATGGTGTACAAAATGAAAGCAATTTACTCTTATCAGAATTTGTTATGGGTTTTTAAAAGTTGACATCATACTTATAGCACAAATATGGCAAAGCTGAGGCGTTCCAGTAATGCTTCGTACTTTGCGCGTCATTTCTGGTGGAGTTTATTTATTTTTACAGTTGTCAGATTTGAGCTGGAAGAAAAAAGAAAACAGATGCTGGTGGTGACAGTGAATCCCTTGGGAGACTATTGCTGGATGTTGACTGCTCCTGAAATAGATCCCAGATTTTGTAGGTAGAGTTTTAAGTATTTTTGTCAACTATCATATACATAAACCTCTAGGTGCAGATTTGTTGGTGGTGCTTTTATCAATCAAATGGCTGATAGGGCCACGTAGGAGGCTTTTCTTAGAGCAAGTTGGATCGGCACAGCTCTGGTATTGCATGGAGGCCGGGAGGTCAGTAGATCAAGACTTGTGCTGTTTGTGATCAAACTAATGCAAACCATTTAGTGTGTAATATTTCCATGACTGCACAATAGTCATTCTCTCATGTCCCTGCGCCTCCAGGACGGATTCTGAGCAAGATCAAGGAGCGTGCGCGTAATCTCCAGCTGCAGAAAGCCAAGCAGCATCTCCTGGCACAAACCCTCAGTGGTCATCAGCCTCTCCTACGTGTGAGGGAGGGCAGGATTCACCAGCAGCTGAACCATTTAAACCGACAAGACGTTAGCACCTTCCCTCAGGTAGAGAAAGCTCAAACAATGTTTTAAATATTTACATTTCATAGTCTGGCATGGAGCTATCCAGTGTGAATGCACTGAGCAGATGGTTACATGACATTTGAAACATAAAAAGCAATGTACACTTGACTTTGACAACTTGATGATAAAAAAGAAAATCTGCATGAAGGCAGTTTTATTCCAAGCATCAAATAAGATTCCATCGTATGTTATTTCTGAGGTTAGTTAAGCTTTTCTAATGCAGCAAAGTTATATATATGTATAGTTTAATAGTGCTGCAAAAAAAAGAAGGTTTCCTGTCCCACTGAACGGCACTGCTTTAATTTTGCTCTACCGATAACAGCTACAAATGAGCAACATCCAATGGTAGCAGTTTGCCGTCCAAATCATCCAAATCATGGCTGGTTTTCACCTCCCCAACTCCACCAGGCAGTGACAAGACATTTGATGCTGCCAATGTGCATATGTGCCCATTGCAGCATTAAATTAAGGATTACTTACACTAAGAGTTTGGATGTGCTGCTGGTTTGGCTAAACCTGAATAAAGCAATTTTTGTTCTTTTTTTTCTCTGCATCTCTTTCTTACAGAGGTTCTTTGTGAACGAGGCCTACTGGCAGAATCCTGATGGTCCGGTGTTCCTCTTCATCGGAGGGGAAGGGCCCATCTTTGACTTTGATGTTCTGGCAGGTACAGTAGGATTCATGCAGCACACAGTCGAACGGATAAAATACAGAATATGCCTGAATCAACAAAGAAGCTGAAACACCCTCACTGATTTGCAAATGAAAGTGGAAACCGTGAGTGAAGCGTCATATTGTGTGTCAGTAAGGTGACACTTGTTTGCAAGCACATTTTTCATCTTTAACTTTTCTCTAATGTGCTCTGCTCTGCAAGTACCCATCAAATCTCACACTATCTGCATCATCCTCACATCTATTTCCTCCCATGTTTCACTTAAATTTTGAATTTCAATATTGGCTTTCTTCACAAACTCTACAAAACTTCTATTGTACAAGTTACAACAAAGATATGTAAAACAAAATTAGTTAGTTAAAATAGTTTCTAAACTGATAAAATATATACACTCAGAAATCACTTTATGTAACATGTCTTGTCACCTAGAGTCAGAATATGAAATGTTTTTGTAAGAATACATTTTTTGTCCTGAAAGTGCTGCAGGGATAAAGTATTTTTATTGTAAGCCAACTTGGAAGTCAGCATCACCCTGGGTCCATTGACAAAAAGCCAGTAGGATTTTTCTATTGGATTTTGAATTATTGCAGAAAATTTTAAGCTTTATGATACTTACACATTTTGTTGAGCAAGATAATCTTCACAAATGAACACCACCAGAAGTAAAAAGCTAATGTTAGACGCAACGTCATGGCCGCAAAGCTTCCAGCTTGTAATTGCGCTCTGTTCGTCCGTGATGGCGTTTAATCTGTTTTTTAAAACATGTAAAAGCTTCAGAATTCAAGAGTAGGGTATTAACTGGTGTATTATTATATATCTTAAGCTTGTGTGAACCGCACATCTTATTTCAGGCACCTAAACAAAAACTCACATAAAAGACCCATTGACTTTGAGATGAGGGAATCTGAAGTTCAAATATGTTGAAAATACTCATTTTATGTTTTGGGACCCATTCCTGCAGCGCTCTATGGCGAAATTTTTTTTTTATTTTCCTATAGGGGTTGATGGTGTTGTGCATCATCACCCCATCATACATTTTACCTACTTTTCTTAGAAAAAGTGTTAGACCTCTTATCTGCTTCCACCAGGTCACCATGTTGAAATGGCTGCCGAGCACGGCGCTCTGCTATTAGTTCTGGAGCATCGTTTCTATGGTGGCAGCATCAACCCTGACGGCCTCAAAACAGAGAACCTGGCAGATCTGAGCAGCCAGCAGGCGTTAGTGTCAGCTCCTCCCTCTGTGTGTGTGTGTGTGTGTGTCTGTGTGTACATGTATGACTGCAAATGTGTGCCTTTCCCCTTGTTCTTCACCACCCTTCCTCTCCGTCATATTTATGTGCATTTGTCTCTTTGTTGTTGTTTACATTCATTCAGGTTTCCTTCTCTCTGTCTATTTATGTGTGTTTGTGTTTGAGCATTTGGTTGGCCAACAGAAATCTTGTTCACTACACAAACACTTGGATCAGACGTTTCCCAGTAAATTGTACATCACGGCCACCACCCAGCCAATCAGATTCAAGTACCCTTCCCAGCCTTGCTTGGCACAATTCATAGTAATGGACACACTGACACCATAAGCTTCTTTTAAAAAAAATCTAATAAAAAACATGTTGCGTCCCAGGGAACCCAAGTAGCCTACATTTTCCAAGGTCAAAAGAACCTCATTTTCATTTTCAAAGATAATCTGTTTATTGCTCTCTATCTCTCCATTTACATTTGTCTGTAGTATGTCAGCATCTATAATGTGTGTCATATGTGTGAAAGAGTGAAGTTTCCAAACTTTGTTTGACCTTTACTGAACAAAGATTTTATTTGTTATTTTTTATTTCCAGGCTTGCTGACTTGGCTGTATTCCACCAGTACATCAGCCAAAGCTTCAATCTGAGCCACAGGAACACCTGGATCAGCTTTGGAGGCTCATACGCTGGAGCTCTGTCCGCCTGGTTCAGAGGAAAGGTGCAAGACTGGAGATATGAACATCACCTCATAAACTTTAATTTTATGTAATAATTATTTAAATGGTATATTGTGAAATTATACTTGAGCTTTAAAAATGTTTCTAAAAATTGGTAAGACTGCGCTCCCCGCAACCCTGTATGCAGGATAAGCGGTTGACGATGGAGGGATGGATGGTAACACAGCGCTAATTCATGCCAGACACCACACTTATGAGAACATTTAGGAAGAGATTCCTCTTAGTTCTGTATAATTTTACAGAAGATATCAAACCAGAATCTTTGTATTAAAATACAACACACAAAGGAATAAAATCATCAGGCTTTAGCTACACCCACTGTACATGTTAGTAGGATCAAATCAGTGTTGGTTTTGATCTTCTCATGGGCTTGGTTGACAGAAAAAACAAACAAAGAATATCACCAGACTTAACCTTTAATACAACCCTTCTCATATGTGGCCCCTTTTAAAATGAGCTTAGAACACAACCTTATTTTTACTCCCCTGGTTTGTGAAATGTTTTGGATGCATTTTCTATTCTTTATATACCACACAGGTCAGAAAAGAACTTGTATGAATGCAACAACCTACATATTAGTGTAGTTAGTAAGTGTTTTGTCACTTCCGTCTCTTTTTCGCTTGCGTTCTACTGCAGTTTCCCAATCTGGTGTATGGAGCTGTGGCCTCCTCTGCTCCTGTCAGGGCGAAGTTGGACTTCTCTGCCTACACCAATGTAAGTTTGCACAATCCATGGCCACAATATTGGCATAGCATATATTAGGATTTTTAAAATACTAAGTTCATGAGTCCACCATATGTAAAGAATGTAACACCCCTTCTCAGTTCATAAGAACCCCCAAATTCCTAGAAATATTACAAAGGACATGCCTGGCATTTTACATAATTATCACAAATTAGCTTAGTACACCTCCTTTAAATAACCTTATATTCTCTCACTCACACCTGTGATTTCTCTGTTTCAGACTGTTGGCTTGAGTCTTATGAACGAAGCAGTTGGTGGCTCCAAAAAGGTGTGAAGACAGCCACCTGTCTACAGTTTATATGACAGGGATTCAATTCATGTTTGTCACTGGCGTTAAATTCTCCCTCACCCTCTTCTTGCAGTGTCTGGCTGCTGTGCGGGAAGCCTTTGCTGCTGTGGAAGCAGCACTGATGGGCGGTAATGTCAGCCAGGTGGCCATTGACTTCGGCTGTTGTCAGATCCCCAAGGATCAAGATGATCAGGTGACGGCTTTATGAAATGCTTTAGGAGAACCAAACTGTGGTTGTAAATGTACCCTCTGTGGCATCTTGTTTTAGGCATTTTTGTCCTTTTATTTGGTTTTTGGTTTTTATTTTAGACTTCTTCACCTCATGCTAGTGTAGTGAACCCTCCAAACTTTGTACCCATTCATCAACACCAACCGTCATGCTCCAAATGAATCAAAACTAGATGTAATTTTAGTACTATATAAGAGCGTATATTGTTGCAGTATTTTATTGAATTGAACTGGCACTGTAGATTGGTCTTGCCAAGTTTGTATTTGTAGTAGCAGACACTAGACACTTTACCAATTATCCATTACGTATGGCTTTACTATTTCCACTGTTCTGTTATCTGTTACTTTGAGCTATTTTAACCATTTCGACAATTCATTAGTTGCTAACAAATATTCATGCACTCTCAATTGCAACACTTGCTCAGCTGGCTCTATATGTGTTTGTATGTTTTAATTAAATTGATGTTTCTGTTGCTGTTCTAAATAATTATCTGAATCACATTTGGTCTCTTTTTATACCCTTTTCTCTACTTCAGATTGAGCTGATGGAAAACTTGGCCGGCATTGTCATGGGAACAGTGCAGTACAATGAAGAAGGGGTGCTCATGTCTATTAATGAGCTCTGTGCTGTTATGACCTATAAGAGTGAGGCATATGAGGAGGAGATGGAGGCTTACAACCGCCTTGTTAAACTTGCACAGGTATGACATCAGAAGTTCCTCCTGCGTGTAGTTCTTCTAGTCCTTTTTGTGCACAGTATCACCACCAGGTGTCACTGTTGAGCCATTTTCATGAATTCCTTAATCAGAGACAGGCTTGTAGTGCACCTAGAGTTCAAATGGAAAGCTGCAATGATTTGGGATTACTCTTGCCAGCAGGATTATGCAGCGAGAGACCAAAGGCCAGGTGTTTTCTATGTGTTGTGTGTTTGTTTGTGCCCTTTCAGATCTACCATTCCACCAGCGAGGAACAGTGTCTGGACATCTCCCATGAGAAAACAGTGAAGGATCTGATGGACACGTCCCTCCACTCAGGGAGGAGAGTAGAGAGACAGTGGACCTACCAGACCTGCACTGAGTTTGGCTTCTGTACTAAACACACACACACATACAAGATCACACATAAAGGCAACTGTCATTCTTTCTATGTCCTAACCCTATATTTGTGTGTGTAGACCAGACTTGTGAGGATGCCACTTGTCCGTTCTCTGGGTTGCTGACCCTGCAGGCCAAGACTGACGTTTGTAACATGCTGTTTGGCATTTCCCAGCATTCCCTGCAAGGACGCATTGCCTTCACAAACACTTACTATGGAGGGGACAACCCCCCCATACACAGGGTCCTCTATGTCAATGGTGAGACTGGGTTACTAGAGACAAAACAAAACCACAACAAATGACTGAACCTAAGGAGTAGCTATTTGAGTAAGTGAAAAGTGAGGTGAGGGAATTTCAACACAGTACTGACTAATTTAAAAATCCATATCATCATTGCTACAGGTGGAATTGACCCATGGAAGGAGCTCTCAGTGGTCCAGGACAGGAGTGAAGAAGGAGAAGAAGCCCATGCCATTTTCATCAAGGACACTGCTCACTGTGCTGATATGATGAGCAGAAGAGCCACAGACCGCTGCTCGCTCAAGAGCGCCAGAGAGGTATGTATACCTCAACTACATGTTACTGTGTAATCTGCATAACAAACACGTAGATAATTAAGTCCTCATATATTTCACCAAAACTCCTTAACACAAAGTCCACTTACTATGCATTTTCTGGCGCTTTCAGGCAAATCTGAAGTTTACATATCTTGCGTTTCATTATAGCAACTGAACCATTTCTGTGAGAAATGAGCACAATGTAAAAATACTCTATTACAAGGTCTACTGAAAGGGAAGTAAAAAGTTACTTCTGTAGTAAAAGTAAAGGTATACTCAAAGCAGAACATGTGACAGACATGTTAAAATATTATTTAGGTTATTATTACTGATGCATTAATGTGTAAGTAGCATTTTGCCATTGTAGCTGGTCAAGATTTTAACTACTTTATATATTTTTTGTGGTTGCATATGAGGATGCATTTTGTTGAATAAGCTCATATGTTTTTAATGTGCAAAATCTCAATAGAGTAAGTGGTTAACTGTAGCTGTCAAATACATGATGTGCAGTAAAAAGTACTATATTTGCCTCTAAAATATAGTGGAGTAGAAGTACAATACTACACAGTACTTGAGTAAATGTACTTATATTAACTACATATTTCATAGTAGCTTGGTACATGCAACGAGTCACATTTCTTTGGAAGCTTAATTAAAAAAGAACACGTGTTTATGTTTTGGGATTTCTAACACAGTTTTCCCATCGTTCTGCCTCTCAGGAGATTGAGAAACATGTGGCCAGTTGGCTGAAGATGGCTGCCCGGGAGAGGATGGAGAAAAGAACTGTGTGATCAGATCACATTATAACCTGATGAGCTCTTATCACTGTTCCCTGAACCTGATAAGAAGCAGTCAATAAGCTGGTGTGCCTGGCTGTTCTGCTTCACTGTCGTCCTCATTTTCCTCCATTTCCTCCCTAAGCCCATCCTGTTCCTTTTCTCCTCACTGTCTGCCCATAACTGTGTTATAGCACTGCACTTCATCTGGTTTATTTACGATATTCATCAGTTGCCATAACCTTGTAGTGTCACTAGGGTGCGATATTGCTTCATGTGTGTCAAACACTCAAAATTCAGAATAGTTTGCCACACTGGTATCTATCTGTTTTTCTTAATAAACGGCAGCAAATGTTGTGTTGTTTTATTGTGTTGTCGTGGTTTTTAACAGTGAGAGAAATAATGGCAAGATGCAGTTTGTGTTAGGAAGGTGAAGAAGCACCAGTTGTCCCAAGGCCATCTGTTTGTGTGTGTGTGTGTGTGTGTGTGTGTGTGTGTGTTATATGTGTGACCCTCTTGGTAGGGGGTCAAAAGTGGGAGGTCATGACCCCTCTGACCCCGTGGGAGTGGAGATCATCAATCAACCAGAGGCTGGACAGAGCAGCAGGAGGGGACACTCACACAAACACACACATACACTAGATACTGTAACACACACACCGCAAACGTACCTGCGAAACACAACTTAAATATAAACAAGTAATGAAAGCAATAGAATACGATAGAAATTCCTCTTAAGGATTGCTGATGAGATCCAGATATCAAAAATGTATCAGCTGCGCTCACACACACAGTACAAATAAGGCCTCTGACATTTGCTGCCATCCAGAATGTGTGTGTGTGTGTGTGTGTGTGTGTGTGTGTGTGTGTGTGTGTGTGAGTGAGTGAGTGAGTGTGTGTGTGTGTGTGTGTGTGTGTGTGTGTGTGTTATATGCGATAACGTACATGCCTTCTTATACATGGAAAACTCACAGATGCTATCAGACACCTCGGCAGAGAGACAGGCTTTAAAGATGGAAAGTGAGTGAACCTGAAGCACTTTTTCACTGCAGTGCTTCTTTTCACCCTGTTTCATCCCCTCATCTCTTTGCTATTGTAAACAAGCAAACCCACACACATTTACACACACTCCAAGAGCCACTATCAGGGTTATCAGCCAGCACTTGCAGAGCGACAGGGCATGCTTTTTCTCTCTCCTCCATTCCTCCTCCTCCTCCAGCCTGTCCTGTTGATCAATGAGGAAGTTCTTGCGCCTCAACTATTAATCAGAGCCTATCGGCTATCTGTCTGCAGAGCCAACCAATCACGGCCCTCCGACAGCTGGGCCATGAAAAATGTGGCCGTGTGGATGGAGGGGAGGTTGGGGGAGGAGGGTGGCGGAGAGGAGGGAGGTGAAGGAGCACTCTATCTAATCCGAGTCAGGTCACGGCTACACAACTGCACTTTATGCACTTATAGTTGATTCTCAACGTAATGATGCGCACACACACACACGCACAAAGGAATGAGTGCACAGGTTTCATGGCCGATAGACAATGAAGCATTCACTTCAAGTCCACACATTTTGTTCCTGATTCACATTTACATCCCATTGAGGCATTTTGCAGACATGTAGCACCCACTGTGTTACCACTCCTTTCATCTGGTGACAGAATCAGACAAAAACTATAATGAACACAGACTTCTTATGGGTTTGCAGCAGAAAGCTCCCCTGTGAGGACTATTACACTGTTGATCTCTTGTCCAATAACATGGCCTCACGCCTCACGCCTCAAAGCTTCGTCAACACACTCCCATCCCTCTTATGCATAATCACCATGCTCACACTCATCCATTCACATCTTAATGTCGTGATTAGATTACATCTAATGCTATTACACTGCTCCTATCTCTCTCTCCTCTACACTCCACCTCTGTCTCCCTCCCTCCCTCTCCCTCTCATCATGGATTTCTTGCAGATCTTATTAGTGTGTGATGGGGACCAGGTCTCCCACTTTGGATTTATGAACCTCAGACTTCTCTCCTTTAATCTCTCCCTCTCTCCTTCTCCGCTCCCTTCCTGCATCTGTCCATCTATCATTCCCAGGGTTGGCTTGGGCGGAAGAGTATTAATCCCTCCATCCCATCTCTCACTCCTCTAGACAGATGAGGAGGTGATAGAGGGAGATGGGGATGAGAGGAGGAGGGGTAGAGGGTAGGAGACCTCGGATTACTTTTCATAATATTTCTGTAGCATTGTGGGGTGAAATGCCGAGACATTACCGGTAATGTATGCAGATTTACTAGATGATAGGTCACTGCTTTAATTCCTTCAACAGGTATGAGGATGAGCTGAAGATGCTGCAGAAGTGAATGTGTGGGGGCGGAGTGCAGAGGCAATAACTGCAGATAGGATGGTAAACAACTTAGTGTGGGAGTGTGTGTGTGTTTTTATGCAGTGGCTTTATGTGTGGAAGTGTAGTCTATGCAAAAATGTGTCAATGCCAAGTGTGCATTTCTGCAAAAGAGAGGCAGAAACTGCATCTTATTACCTGTTGATGCCCAGGCACATGGGTGTGTTTCTAGTAGGGCTGTTTTGGGAACATGCATGTGCGCAATGGCTTACGTGTATGCCCATACCTACGTTATCATTCTATAGTTAAATATGAAACTTGCATGGAGATCATATTACAGCAGGATAAACAGTATGATCCATATGATGAAGTACATTAAAACGTGCAATAAGGTCATGCAATTGGTCAAACTGAAAAGACAAAAATCTTATGCAGACTTAATACATACGGGCTAATCACCACGTACTGTGTGCTGTTTTAGAATAAGCAGCTTTCACTTCTATCTCAGTGCAGAGTATTTGTTTTTATCTTCTCACCTTCACAGGTACAGGTGCATCATAAAACACTGGATTTACAGAGAAAAATCCTCTAGGCAGCTTATAAAACTGTAAATTCTACATAAATGGGCCTTTGGATGTATAGATAACATGGAGCCTCACACTCAATACGGGACCTCTTTCCATAGAGCCCAGTTTAAGTTGGTTAAATGAGCTATTTTGTTTAATTTGCTAGGGCTCTTACGTTTAGCAGCTCCTCTAAACATTTTAGGTGAAGTCAGGCAGTCAGGTTAGGAGAACCAGATACATGTTAAAGGTGCATTGTTTAAGAATTCAAAAGAGTTTAAAACATTCAGAAAATGAACAAACATAATCAGTGACATTATGTCAAAGATGTCTATGTATTATGTTGCAGAGATTTGAAGTTAGCATGCTAACTGGCTAGCCCTGTCTTGTGATATCACTTTGTGCGTTATGCAGCGATAGTACACTAGTACAGCTCAGGCCTCCCCCATTGCTTCACATGTGCAAGTAGCGAGTTTGTTACATAGCTTTTTTAATCCAATAAATATACTTTGATGGAAATAAACCCTTAATTCAGTTAGTTAGGTGTGAAAATATTCTGGCTCTACACGAAGTGGCTGCCTCTCTGATGCCCGACCTCCCACTTGACGCATCTCCTGTCCCAGACTGAACTAAACTACCAACAACAACATTTATCACATGTTAAACATCAAGTGACTTAGGTCACCTGACTTACGTAACATACTTCAGGTCCAGTGTGCCTGTCTCTGGACTGGTACTTGCCAATGCTCCTACATGTCTTTTTTGGGACAATTGACCATTTACCTATGTTGTCGTTCAGGTAAGAGGATGTGTTGCGTCATACTGGCCTCTGTCGGTCTCAGAGGCTGTGTTCATTCCCAGTCCGGCCGTGTTCTCTGGGAGGCAGCTGAGCCTGGCTTGCCTAAGGCTCTGGCTCTGGTTCTGGCGCCCATTCCAGACTTAGTAAGGTAATAGGGCAGCTAAATTAGCTGCACCGCTAACTGAGTTAACTAGCTAACAGCAGTTATGTAGTTGAGACCCGTTATGTGATATGCTGCCACCTATTTTTGGTATGAATTCGAAAGGGGGAGAATAGTCTCAATTCGCATACATCATATCTTTCTCTCTCCAAATTTACCATATTTTTCATACTTGATCCGCTACATTTTAAATAAAAAATAGTAAAATTGTATTTCCACAGTGTTTCACTCTACACCACCCCCCTTCCCGCACACACACACACACACACACACACACACACACACACACACACACACACACACACACACACACACACACACACACACACACACATCAGAGTATGTTCAACAGAATCCAATAAGCTCTGGGAAATCAATTGAACTGATCAGGACATTTAATGAGTCCAGTTCCTGCAGGCCCAATTCTCCAAAAAGCAAAGAAACAAATTCGGGATAAAGAAAAGAAATAAACCTTTGACCATCATTCAGGGTAAAGCCGATTCTCCTCCTCCCCTCACAAAGTCCCCCCTCCATCCAAGCTCTTGCAGTGACAGGTAGATTAAGGGGCGTGATAGATGCCCCTCTCTGTGTCTCCCTCTCCCCCAAGCCCACCCCCCCCTTTCCTCCCCTCCATCCATCATGGCGGCTGGTGTAATTGCGGCTGCGTGGGGCTGGCAGAGGGAGCCTCCATCCATCTCCTTAACAACAAACAGTCAGGAGGACGGATGGTGCTGCGCTCCCCAGTTAATCTCCATCTATAAGAGGGGGGGGGGGGGTCAGGGAGGAGGAGGAGAAGGAGGAGGGATGGAGAAGGATAGGAAGAAAATAACAGAAGGGGGATAGGTAGTGTTGGCTCATGGTACAAAAAGAGATGGCGAGGGGAAGGCAAAAGGAAGGTTGGAGATCTGCATGAGAGAGACCATGCCCAAACAGGTAGAAACAGCAAGGGAAAATAAAGGAGAGAAATGACTCGGTTGGGGGAGAACAAGAGGAACTGGAGGGAAAGTTTGCAGACAGGCAGATAAAGGTGGATTCGCTTGGTGAGGGTACAAGAAGAGAGAGATGGAGGGAGGGGGGGAAATTTTATGTCTATTCCGCCATATGACCCAGAAACTGGAGAGGCACAGACTCATAAAAATGCACTCTGCACCCCTCAGCCACTCCACCAACCCTCACCCCGACTACCCCTCTCTGTTTCTTTCCCTTTCTGTCATGCAGGCGGTCGAGGAGGTCACAGCTCTCTGATGTTTTGGGTGGTTGTGTGCGGTTGCCGGAGGTCACGACAGCCATAGTTTCTTAATGGCGGAGTCACTGAAGTCAACAAGGCTGGGTGGCCTTCTACCTCCCTCCACCTCTCTCTCTGGTAGAGTCAAGTAAACTTTGTGGCAAGGTGAAGGCAGCAGAGATGGTTGTTTTTCACCTTGCAGACAATGCATTATCATGGGGACAGACTCAACAGCTGTTGTATTTTGGTTTGCTCCAAAAGCAACATGCTGGGCAAAAACTAGAGGATAAGAGCAGTTTGTAGAAGAGTAAAAATCATTCAGCGAGATACAAAGACACATTCAATCTTGAAGGTCAACATCAACAGTTATAGACACACTCTCATAAACACGTTTCCCTCTCTGCTTGTTTTTTTTAAGCCCAGGGCATCGCCTGCAGCAAGGACCAACTTAGAAGAGGAGAACCTTGAAACTGACCCTCCAGCACGCAAGCGAACAAGTAAGCAAGTGCACAGAGCCACAGACAGGCACACAAACACATACACACCACAGTGTCTGTTGTCAGGAACACACATGCATGCTAGTCCAAGCGTGTACACTCAACAGGCCTTGGTGGGTGCAGAGGACCGAGCATTGAGCCTTGACAGGGAGTGACAAATAACTGCAGCAGCCTTGACATGCAGAATGGTCCCACGGAGAACCTGCCTGACTGATATTCAGCTGTGTGATGCAGGAAAACGGGTCTGTTTCTTACAGGAGAGCTCCACCAGAAGAGGAGATGGTGTAAACCTGAATTAACCTGGAAGGTAGTCCTCAGGGAAGAAAGCATTTCTTTATATTTTAATCAGCCGCCACACATGCATCTGTACTATTAACAAAAGCAGAATGTAAATGAAAGCACACAAGTGACATGTATGAAAACATGTGAAATGATGCTCAGCCTTACAGATGTAGGTTGGGAAATATCCCTCATTTAACTTAACTTATTCACAATAAGAAAATCTTCTAAAGACATCAAAGGGAAATCTATTTAATGCTGGAGCAGATAACTTTACTTCCTCATAGGGGTCCCATAGACCCCACTGCTGTGATGTGTTAATAATAATAATAATAATAATAATAATAATAATAATAATAATAATAATAATAATAATAATAATAATAATAATAATAATAATTGCAAAATCAACCAAAGTAAAATAAATATTTATTTTCCTTATTATAACCTTCCTTATTATATCCTTATTACAACTCAATATATGGAAAAGTAATGAAGTGAGAACCCTTTCCTTTGCTACAAATTGGACTTATTTTTTGATTGTGACAAACAGAAATGAGGAAATATCTCATTTTTTGTTTTATGGGCAACTAGTATTTATTCTATCCTTTTGTTTTCCAAAAAGTCATTCATACACAAAGAAATGTACATTATGTTATCCTACAGTAAACAGTAGCATTATTCTTTCTGGCCTCTTCTGAACAAACTGTTATAAATCTCTAGTAACAGAAATCCGGATAGACTTATTTAGGATTTGGGAGGGTATAGTAGCCTACTGAGTAAAAAGTATTGTCAACACAAATCACAGATACAGAGCCCATGGAAAATTAATCATGTTTGCACTGCAGTGCTTCATTTTCTGTAGTGGACTTCTGAAACATGTCATCACTTCAAAATTTTGCTCAAAGGCAATTCTCACACAAAGTATCAAACTGGTAAAACAGTGTTTTGGTGACAGAACATTATGGTTTAAATAATAATAATCAAAAATTGAAATAATTTCTTTTAGGAGGCTGTTACAGTGTCTTTTCTCTTCCCATAAAAGGAGACACTCTCTGACCTCTGAGGTTCTTTAGATGTCTCACTTTTTATCTTTCACTTATGTTTCACCTTTCTGTTTTATATGCAATTTTTTGATTAAATCTTGAAGGTGGGTGTGTCATTATGGAACATGTGCTTGTCCTTTCATATGTGAAAATGTACCTGGCAATAAACCCGATTCTGATAACATACTGCAGTTTTCTTACCTTTCAGCACAGGTTTAACAACAAATGCTTGTCATTAACATATGCAGGGTAGAAAAGGTAAAAGGAGATGTGTTAGAAATGACAGATCTCTTGGTGTTTGTGATGTAAATGAGTGTAATCTGCATGTTTAGATAATAGTCCGTTAGATAAATGTTAGAGACTTAAGATTTATGGTTCAAGTGTCCTGAAGAAAAACAATGAAGCTCAGCTCAAAAAGCCACTCTCAATTTCTGACGTTTTGCTTCTGATTTGTTGTTTGTGAAGGTTTTCCACTGAGAGAAATAAGGAAATCTAACTCTGCCAGCATGAAAACTTCAGATGGTGCACACTTCAGTGTTAATCCTTTTCATTCAACCTGTTAACAAAGTGAAAACAAGCCTTGGATCGTCTTTTCCAGCCCATTGACACTGCTTCATGGCTGTATTACCGGCTCAGAGTAGGAGGGGGGTTGAGCGCTGTGATCACCCCTGTAGGAAACCAGCGCCCTGCGGAGTTAAAAGACCCCTGGCTGGACGGACGATGCGGGGCCCTCACAGGCCGCCCCACGGTCAAACTCCATGCCGCCCACGGAGACGCCTACCCCGGCCCGCTGTTCCCCGCCAAGCCGCTGCTGATTGAAGTGCGGCCGCCTGTTGGCCCCTCACAGCGGGACCGGGGAAAGGGGAGCGTTTTGAATAATTATTATGTTACTTAGGTGTCATTTACAACACAAGACTGGGGGGGTTTTGATATTCCACCAAAACGTGAAAGGGTTTTTTTGTCTCTCTCTTTCTCTCTCTCTAGTTAAAATGAAACTTTCTCACAATAATGGTTTTGTTTTCTCACTTCTCTCAATCAACAAAAACAGGGCCAAAGGATGACGTTTGGGCAGTGTCAAAAGGCTGCCCTACAATGGATGTCGACAGAAACAATAAAACACCTTGAAAGCTATTACCAGCCAGTAGCTTTCTTGTCATCTAGCACGCTTCAAACTTATTTATGACCCGGTTTGAGGAGCAACTTGTAAAAACTCTTCATTTTTACTACGATCCTTATTAGAATTAACTTTTGTCACGTGCATTTTAAAGTGCATAAACATAGGCTACAGCAAGTTTCTCCAAAAATGTCTGTGGCGCAAGCTGCAGACACTCGTGCGTAAGGGATCTAACACATAATATGTCCTGTTATTATCACACTGATTATCCAGAGTTTAATAGTCTGTTAAACATGCTAGAGTGACCGAGTTATCACTATTCTTCTCCCGAGCTATCCCGAGATGATAGAATGGGGAGGATGGAGGGATGGTGGTGGAGCGATATCAGCTCGGAGGAGAGCCGAGATAAAACGATCGAGGGGGTCTTTTTCTTCTTCTTCTCCGGCGTTTTGTTGTGTGTGATAAGGAGGAGGAGGAGGAGTAAAGGAGGAAGAGGAGGAGAAGGGGGAGAGATGGAGGGAGGGGGGGCAAGAGACCCCGCCGCGTTTTGACCCTCCGAAACCTCCCCGCGCACCGCACACCACCACCATCATCACTCCTCCTCCTCCTCCTCCTCCTTCTTCTTCTTCTTCTCTCCTCTTGAGACTGAAAACACCATCGCTCATTCCCAGCCGTGACATTTTGCAGCCTGTCGCCGTCTGCTGCGCGGACAGCGAGCACAAGGAGCCAAAAAGGAAGGGACTCTTTTTATCCGTCCCCCACAGCAGCGAGCATCCCGACGGCTGCGAGCCGGAGCTAGAGACCAGGCGGAGGCGAGGCGCTGCAGGAAGCCGCTGCTCCTTTTCACCGGGGTTCTGGACTACACAGGACACGGCCCGAGCAGGGATAGCTACAGCGAATATTTACGTCTCGGTGGGACATTTTACACCATTCGCCGGGGCTTTGCATATCGGCTACGCTACTCATCAGCCAATAGCATTTAATAGGCTGCGAGCTTTATTGCCGCTAAGTGTATTATAAACCATTAAGCTCACGTCGGCAGTAGCGTCCACAAGGATATCATCGTCCATAAACCTCCAGTCCCATCATAATGTTGTAATATAAAACGCGATGGACTCGGAGTAAACAGACAGAAGGAGCAGGTCTTCACTGTTTCTTATTCTCAGCCTTGTGTTTTTGTTGAATCCGTACAGGCTGCTTTTGCATGATGTTAACCGTGTTTAACAACCTCAGTGATAATCAATTATATAAAAAAAACTAAAAAACAATCACATATACTTTTATTTCCAGGACGCCAGGGACAGAGGAAGGGAGCAAAGCTCGCTGGACTAGCCGAGCAGCGCATCATCATCTCCGGTGTTGTACTGGCTGTCGAGTCGCATGGAGAAGAGGGTAGGTCTGCTGATTATTAGGCTATTATTATTATCATTATTATTATTATTTTTATTATTATTATTATTATTTATGTGAATGCTTTGGACCAGTGCCTGGCTGGATACCAGCTTTTATATCACCAAGGAGAAGATGTAATTAGGAAGACATCATTATGGGAGCATATGGGTGGGAATCCTCTTTGCACTGCTGGGTCTCTGGCCATGCAACACACAAGGCCCACTGGAAAAAGACTAGTGGGTTGTTACTGGCGTGGGCTTAATGTTTAGGGAAACACAGCAGAAAAACCTGCCAGCAGAAGCATCACAGCAACCGAGAAATCCCTTTTTTGTACTGTAAAGAAAAACAGTTCTTCATATGCCACCAAATGTTTATTTGTAAAGCAACTTTTAAGGTCACCACCTTTCATAATCCCTAATTCATAAGGTGATGTGCAGTTCAGTGGAGGTTAGGCTATGTATAACTTGCAATCTAGATGTCAGCAACCTTTCAAAACACTTACAAACTGTTGATTTGCCTCTTACATTTAACCCTCTCCTTAGAATAATATGGATTTATTGCTGTGTAGTGTCAGCCAGGCGTTAGAATGGCACAAAGGGCTAGCTCAGTCATTAAGAGGCAGAGGAGAGGAGATGCAGCACTTCAACTCCGTAAGTAGGTCAGTTTTTTTGCTACAGTGATTCGGAGGCATGGTGGTGGCGGAGGTGGAGGAGAAACAGGCAGTGGCTGACGAGCAGCAGGCGGACTGAGACCTCTGAGTGGAGGAGAGCAATTAGAGATGTACAGTGTGTAGGCAGAAAATCACTGCTGTATGAAAACAGAGCAGGGTAGAGAGTGCTGAGAAGCAGAGGAAAGGTCCAAACACATACTGGCCCAGTCTCAACTCAACCAGCTTAAAATTCAAATAAAGAGATTCCCAATAAAATAGCTTTCTGCTGTTTGTTTAATAATATAAATGTACCTACTTTCTGGGTATATGTGACGAAAACTGGATGTTAAAAAGAGAAACATGGATGTTACCCTATGTTTCACGGGCCCTTTCAACGTTATAGTGTCCTATTTTGTGCAGTAGCCTAATAACGCTGTATAATAAGGAAACGCTTATGAAATTTGAAGAAAATCAAATGGCGATTGGAGGTCTAATGCGTGTTTGCTGAAAACATGTCGGGACGCCTTAAAGAGTTTTAAAAGTTGTAGTTGTTTTGTGGCACTGTGTTGATCGCACTTTTATAACACGTCCAACGTGATTTGTTTGCTTTTTTCTGCTTTAAATACAGGAGCGAATCTAAACGTCCATATAGGCTACCAGTAGCCAAAAACATTTTTACTTAAGGCAACTTTAACAAATGCGTGATTAACTTTTAAATAGCCTCCTTTGTATCTGCTTTCGGCCGTGTAGTTATAGTTTGTTCCAACTTTTTTTGTTGTTCTCAGTCTTTTTTTATTTAAGTGCAGAAGAAAACTACGAATCTTCAGCCAAATTCGGCAAGGTTTTTGTTAGATATTTAGATCCTTTCTAGAGGTCAAAAAAAAAAAAAAGTCCTAAAGCAAAGTCACATTTCACTTGTGTTTTCTAAATCGACGCATTGACGAAACTAATGCGTTTGCGTGGTAATTACAGGATTATTTCTTTATGTACAGCAATGGCATTAGTATTAGATAATAAGCATTGTACAAAAAAATAAAAATGTAGATGTTTACAAAGGTAAATGGACCCGTTAATTCAGAGCCTCTGAAATATGAGAGGAAGCTGTGCACCCATTTCATTTTCTATTTATTTTTTTACACAGTTTTCTGTTTCAGTCCAATATAAATCCAGTTCTACAAAGCTAAATGATGTAATTCCTACATCGACTCTGGGCATATGTTTTCCCAGCAGCAGCCTAAACACGCCCGTCAAGCCAGCAATAACTTTTCTGCGTCGGTGGAAATAAACACAATTAAAACGTGTAATGAAAATGCTGTCCTGCCACCTGAAGCCTGTTTACCAGCTCTGTGACTTTAAAAAAAAAAGGGAAAATTCGCGGAATTTGTCATCTCGACTTGTGCGCTTTGATCCGCTTGACGCGCAGAAACCGGATAGGGGCCGTGCGTAAAGAGAGACGCGCAATCCGATAGCGGTGATTGTGTTAATAGCCAGTCTCCATAAAAACTAGAAGGTGTCCCGGCCAGGGCCTCAGAGCAGGTGCTTTCTGTGATCCCGGTGGCCATATGGGACTCTGAAAAACAACAATTTGATAAGCCATTTAGGACAGTGGTTCCCAAAGTGGGGTCCGACAACCTCCAGGGGTCCTGTAGAAGTGTTTGCAGGAGGGCACTGCTTGCACATGAAAAGGGATAATTTAATTTCTCTATGATTTCATTCCCAGAGGTTAACACAGAGATAATTTGAAAGAATAATTGATTTTATGTTGGGTTTCACTGTTGCTGCCTCAGCACTTGCAATTTAGTTTTGATGCACTCCATAAATACCAAGAAAAATAATCCCAACCCCCCTAGAAATATAGTTTTAATTACTGCAAATCTGAAAGAATAACATAGGTATCACTGTCCCTGCAGTTACCTCCAGTTGTACTCATCTGTTGTAAAGCACAACTCTCACAAGCTCACTCACTATTCAGGATAGCACAAGCACAAGAGTGCTTGTGCTATGTGCCACAAGCACAAGAGTCCTGCCACCTAGCAGGTGCCGTCTGTCTGTCTGTGATCCCAGTGGCCCTGTGGGACTGCACCTGGAGTCCCCTTAATCCAGCAGAAACAGAAACAGAGGCAGATCTGCTGACCTGAGCAACGTTGCCTCAGAGACATAAGCTGCAGTGAAGCACAAATTAGCTCTGTAACACAGAGGACAGGGGGAAACAAGGGAGTCATGTATATTCATGATGCTATGTGTGCGAGCGCTGTTTGTCTCTGGCTGTATCTGTGCATGTGAATGTGTCTGTGAGTGTGCCATATGTGTGTCTGATTCACTGTGTCTGTGTGTGTGTGTCTGTGTGTGTGTGAGAGAGTGGGCCCCAGCGAGGCTGTCACAGCGGCCTGTGAGGGACATCTCAGCACGGCTCCTGCCTAGTCTGAGTTTAGGAGGGAGGAGACGACATTAGCAGCTACTGTCTTCCTCCAAGGATCTCATCTCCCTCTTTGCTCTTCACCTCCTTTGCTGAAGTGAAAGGAAAGAGATTGTCAAGGTTTTCTAATAAGGGAAATGGGGCTTAAGCACACACAACTGGATTGTACAGTAGCCTACACAAAACTGCCTAACTGTCTTATTGGTCTATCAATGTACACACACACACACACACACGCACACACAGGGAGTAGTATTCAGCCACAGTATATCATTGTAAATATTAGAATAATTTGAGTAAAGAAGAGGCTTTTCGGACTTGTTTTTGTTGATGACGTTTGTTTTGTTTTGCTTGTAATGATTGAAGCATTTTTCCACTATAACGTAACTGTCACTAAAATCTATAAATACTAATGCATGAACACACAGGAGAGCTGAATCGATTAGTCAATTAACCGACCAGCAGATCCACAGAAAATGAATCAGCAACAACCAAAAAAGCTTCTGAATGTTTCTTAGTTTTTCTATGATCATAAACGGAATATATTTGGCTTTTGGACTGTTTTATCTGATAAAACAAGCTAATTAAATATGTCATGTTTTCTGACATATTAAGAAAATTAATCAGTCCTAATGATAAAAATAAATGCCAGTTTCAGCCTTTGTACACACACACACACACACACCACACACACACACACACACACAAACACACATGCAACATCAATTTCTAATAGCTTATTTGTAGCACAAAATGTGTCCCACAGCTCAGACGCAACACTGCAGATCTCCTAACTGAGAGTCCAATAAGCTGTGTGGCTGAAGCCCTCTGACAGCTCAGCCACATAATAAAATCACAATAAGATTTGATGTCAGACAGGCACAGATGTCGAATGTGTCTCATGTTTACTGTCTCTCCATCTAATTGTGTTTCAGTATGAAGAGCTGGTGCACTACTCAGGGTCGGAGGGCATGTCGGTGGGGGGGTACGGCGACGACGTCAGGCCGTTTCCTCCCCCACAGTACGGACCCACTATCCCCGACTCCCTCAAACACCACAAAGACCAGATCTATGGGTAAGTGAAAACACACTGAAAGGGTTAAAGTTCTCAGACGAAATCACAGACAGCGCTCAAAAACAAGTCCACAGCTGGTTAAATATACACTCGTCAGTCACAAGGTAGCCACACCTTAAAGCAAACCTGTTTCATCATTTATTTTACTGTAAATGGGACCATAATTTACTAAATGAACATCATGCTGTTTTAAAGAAGACTTGAAACTTGAGACTATAAACTCATTGGGAAAGTAACTGAGGTTACAAATCAAGTGAGGAGTAGGCTCATTTAGTCATTAACACCAATGCAATCAGACTTTTTTTTTTAAACCAGTGGAGTCGCCACCTGCTGGCTGTTAGAAAGAATGCACATTTAAGTTACTTCCTCATTGGCTTCATTTTCAGACACAGAGGTTGCCCCTGGGGTGGAAACAGTGATTTATGTAGCCCATTAGTGACTAGAAAATAGTATGTTTTAATTGCATTTGTACGCTTTGAGCAGATTAACATACTGTATATTTTTGTATACTGACTATAAAAATAAATGTGAATGTTTACAGCTGTCTGCTTTATAAATACTGTGTTGTAGTTTCTTCTAATACCTTCTGTAAATGTATCGTGTGTACACTATGTCAACTGTTACTGTGTTTATGTATAGTATGTTAACTGTGTGTGTCTTTGTGTATGTGTGTGTGTGTGTGTGTGTGTGTGTGTGTGTGTGTGTGTGCATGCAGTCACCCACTGTTTCCACTGCTGGCCTTAGTGTTTGAAAAGTGCGAGCTCGCCACCTGCTCCCCTCGAAACTCCGTTTCCCCTTCAGCCAACTCCCACCTCCCCGGCATGACCAATCTCAGCGACGTCTGCTCCTCTGAATCCTTCAACGACGACATCGCCGCGTTTGCAAAGCAGGTGAGCGACAGCTGTGAGGGCCAATTTTACAGAACAGACAGTTAAATGTTTTTGTAATATTTGTGTTTATATTGTGTTGCAGATCCGTTCGGAGAAGCCCATATTTTCTTCCAATCCCGAGCTGGACAACTTGGTATGATACATGCTGAAATCACGCTAAAATATGAACAAACTTTTTCACACATGCATTGTGGGATATGTGTTGATAAGTAATCCACATTCTCCTCTCCACAGATGATCCAGGCCATACAGGTTCTTCGTTTTCATTTACTGGAGTTAGAGAAGGTTAGTGCGAGAGAAGCATGTCTTTATTGGTCAATCTCAACTTTTTTTGTGTTTTTTTGTTTGTGTGCGTTAAGGTGCTTGTGGGAAGGTCTGACATCCAGCACTTGTGTGTCAGTGCTAAGCAGCACTATAATCACATGCTGTTTGCCATAAAATTTATGAATAAACAAAGTTTGTTTAATCATAGTTTTAAACAGGAGGAATTATTACAGCAAGCAAAAACTGCTTAAATGTACGTATGAGCATGTGTATGTTGTTTTAATAAGAGAGACTTGAAAAAATATGAACCTGTCCCTTTAATGTTGACAGCACTACTATGACCTTTTTTAGGCACTGATTAGGAAGTGATGTTAACATGTTAACGTGCACTGATGAATATAAATCTGTTTCCGAAGGTGCATGACCTGTGTGATAACTTCTGCCATCGCTACATCACCTGTCTGAAGGGAAAAATGCCCACAGACCTCATCCTGGATGACCGGGAGGGCGGCTCCAAGTCTGACATGGAGGACTTCACTGGATCCTGCTCCAGTCTGTCGGAGCAGGTGAGACGAGCTGAATGTCGAACAAGAAGCTGCATCCACTGGATGTCTGAATAATGACTCCTTGTTCTCTCACCTGTTGGGAATTCCCCATCTTCCACCACTACTCCAACCTCCTCTCAATCTCTCTGTCCCTGCAGAATGCATCATGGTTACGGGAGCCAGATGAATGCGCCACTACTCCTCTGGGAACACCAGGCACCTGTGGCCTGCCTTCACTCAGCACAGCAGACAACTGTAGCGACACAGGTAAACACACACACAGTAAAAATACTGCTGTGTGAAAGAAACACTGCACTGCACAGCAAGGATGCATGAAGGGAAAGAAATTTGTACCTGCAACATTCACACACAGTCTACTTATTGATGTATATGCATATATAATATGCATCTGGCATAACTTCATCTCATCAGCTAATCATTGTTGTTAATACCTGATATTGTGGATATGATACACTTTGGTTGTTTACATATTTGTAGCAGAATTTACCAGTGTTACAGTAATTGTTCTTAAATAGTATTAACTGTAATGCAACATTTTAATCAGTTTACACATAGGAAAGCATTCATGTTATTATTATTACAATTACAGTGAGTTTTGCATGTAGATGTGTTCAATTATATGTCAAATTCGAAAAGCAACACTGAAAAGTCTCATTACTTTTTGGCTCAAAAATGGTATTGGTAAATAGATGTAATTGTAAAAAAAAAAAAATACAACATGCCTGTCAAAACATACAGTTACACCTTAATAGACACTCACACAGAGTTATGATATACGTGCGTCCCTGCAGGCGATGGTCTGGACGGAGGAATGGCCTCCCCCAGTACAGGAGAAGAGGACGAGTCCGACAGAGACCGGAGGAACAACAAGAAGAGAGGGATCTTTCCCAAAGTGGCCACAAACATCATGAGAGCATGGCTCTTCCAGCACCTGTCGGTGAGAGCGCTTTGTCACGTTCTCTGTCAAGTAAAATTATTACACTTGAACATATTGAATGTGGACCATATTAAAACCATCCCGCAGAGCTGTAACACAGAGCCTGTGTATAGCGCTGTATGGGAGCATAATGAAAGAGAGGATTTAGTGTGAGGCAAAACATCACTGACAAGAATAGATAGAGAGGGGAACTGAGTGTATAATGGAGGTCAATTAAATTAATGAAAAAATGGAGGATTAAGTGATTATGTGAATATGCTCGCTATTGAATAACTGTGGAAGTGATAGAAATGGAGTGAGTAATTGTTGGTGAGGTAATTAGTTACTAAATGAGGCGGGTCAAATGTTGCCTCACTCCAATTATTATGTGTGTGTGTGTGTGAGAGAGAGAGAAATACAGAGAGGGAGTGAGAGGTTGAGAATGTGAGTGCAGATGGAAGGTCATCAGTATTCACTCATTTCAATCACGTAGGCTATTTCATTGTAGATTATTATGTCACTAGTAGCCTCAAGATTATCCCCTCGTTGATCCACACACATTTGCCCACATCAAAACAAGCCACCAAAGCCTCACTTGTGAGTCTGGAGTGTTTGGATTTCTTTAACCCTAGCTCTTTGTGTCCTCTCCCAGCACCCGTACCCGTCTGAGGAGCAGAAGAAGCAGCTGGCGCAGGACACAGGACTGACCATCTTACAGGTCAACAACTGGTCAGTGCACTCTCAAATCAATACACTAATTCTAGCCCTGTGGCTTATCAATAATCAGTTAAACTGTCATGTTTAAATGCAAAGCGTCAACTTTCAATTTAACAACATGGCCGTTGCCACGTCAATAATATGTTGGCGTGATAGTCTGCTGTAGAAATGAACCGTATCAGTATTTCACACCTCACTTAAGTCGCATTTTTTTGTCTTTGTAACTCTTTATTGTGCAAATAAGTGTCAGTTAACTGAAAGGTGGCACTTTCACTAGACCTTTAGAGGAGACTATAATCTATTTTATTAGAGAGAAGCTTGTAACAGTGGAAGAAATGTCCTGCGAAGCACTTTTTTTCTGAAGCCGCAGCACAGTAAAAATCCATTTTCTCTATGTTCATAAAACAGAATTGCAAATCAATATCCAATAATCAGATGGTTTATTGCTCCCAAATTCCCTCTTCACTTCCCAGGCACACATACATCTGCACACACACACAAGCATACACACCCAAACACATGCATACACACACACACCTGTTCTGATCAATTAGTTTCATTAGGTTAATTTTCTGTACCACAGAAACACTTACAAAACCAAATTATGAAATGTGTGTTACATGTTAAACAATAGATTTTGTTATCTGATTATGTGCATGTTTTCATCTGTACCCCTGCACACACACACACACACACACACACACAGTGACCCGATCAATGCAGATCAATCAATTATCACAGGGCGATCGATACTTGCTCTGCCCTAATGTTGATTTACTCTGCCCTCTGAAAGGGTTAAGTGGTTGTAAAATGGAAAAGGTTAATAGTCTCCTGGTCAGCCTTTTTCTCCATTAACGGCAGCCTTGTCCATCGCTCTCTCTCTCTCTCTGTTCTTTCTTTATGTCTCTCTTCCCTGTGCAGGTTCATCAACGCCAGGAGGAGAATAGTTCAGCCGATGATTGACCAGTCAAATCGCTCAGGTCGGTGTTTATAAGTCAGTCAGCCGGTCGGTCGCTCTGTAAACATCTCTGTGTATATATGAGCTTGTGTGTGTTGTATATTTGTGTCTGATGGCGTGTTGTCTCACAGGTCAGGGTGGTCCCTACAGCCCAGAGGGAGCAGCTCTTGGGGGCTACGGGCTTGATGGACAGGCCCACCTCGGCCTTCGAACAGCAGGTACAGTAGCCTGAAGTGAAATACTGCTTACTTTCACATACTGACAGTACACCATATACTACTACAGGATAAAGCTGGTGATATATATTATTATTTTTACTGTCAAATCCCATGAATGAACAAAACCAACACTGAATTGATGCTAGTAACAAGTGTGTGTGTGTGTGTGTGTGTGTGTGTGTGTGTGTGTGTGTGTGTGTGTGTGTGTGTGTGTGTTTATCCAAAGCCTGATATATTTTCTTCCTCTGTGACATAAAGCTCCATTGTTGTCTAAAGACTATTATGAAAACACCAATGAGCCACACTGTCACATGGGGTCATCACATGTTCCCTAATTAACACACACACTGTAGTTTATTTTGACTCAGTCCTACACACACTGTCCTGCTGCCCTAAAATACTCACTAGAGCACCAAATGTGGATTAATCTGCAGCTGAAAATAGTCCCCAACAAGAGTAACTTTAAGTTTGACCTCTTCATTTGTCATAAATGAAGCCACAGATGGGTTTCAGAAGTGGAAAATATTAAGAAAAGCGCTGTCACACTGCTCATTTTAGTCTTTCCATAGCATTTGTTGACAATAAGAAAAATATACAAAATCACCAGCCGTAACCTTTAAGTCGACTCATGGAAAGGTCAAAAGGAGATCGTAAAACGTAGGCACTGCTGTGTACCTTGATAAGGGACAGAGTTGAACTGAGAAATCTTAAATAAAAATGAGATATACTGTAGATATTTATCTCTGTTTAATCCTCATTTGCCTTTTCATTAAATACTATGAAAATAAATATTTAGAAGCATAAATAAAGTGACTCACCTACTGTTTAATGATGTGTTAGAGGTGTTTTCGTTACGGACTTCTACACACCCCTAAACAACTTCACTACTTATATCTGCTTTTTAACATCATTTAAATGATTGATTTTTATCACCTGTTCAATTCCTTATGCTGGAGAAGGCATCGTTGTGTGGGAAGTTGTGGACTGAAGCTATAAAAAGAGAATATGTGATTTTAGTGTGAAGTAAAGGTCAGCAGATCACCAAAAATCACGACAAAACCTCTGAACCTCTCACACTGACAGACACATCTTTTAATACATTAGACACTAGACAATAAGTACATCCAAGGTATTAATGTTTTCTGATGCTGTTGGAAGAAAAACTAGCTACAATCTCACGCTGTGCAGCCATTTAATTTCGAAATCTGAAAGCTTCCAAAAAGAATTGAATTTTAGGAAAATATGCATAAAATAAGTTAGAGCTGGAACAAATTAATGCAGAATATATATGAGATATCATCAGACAGTGAATAAGGTGATTTTAACAAAAAGGGGAAATAAAGACTGTATGTTATGGGGTTAACATAGTGGGAAGGCATGCTTACATTTTAAGATCAGTTGAGAAACACAAAATGCAGATGTTTCATCTCTGTGCTAAATAGATAAATGAATAACAGATTATGGCTTTAATGACCAGTTTCAGTTATGGAGAACCATCAAATTATGTTCTCCCCAGTGCAGATCAAAACATGATTTAGTCAAGTAAAGTTACTGATTAAAAAAAAAACATTGCCCACTATTACTTTCCCACTTGACTGTTGTTTTATTATACTGTGAATGAGGATGGTGTACTTTGCCAAAGGCAGATTTTTATTTAGGAACCAAATTTTATATCCCACTTTATCTCCACTGAGAATGTAAACCTGTCCTCTGCGTCTCCCCACCAGGTCTCCAGGGGATGTCTTCTCTGCAGGGCGACTACCCCGGCGCCCTACTGTCCCAACCAGGCTACCCTCCCCACCCGGGACCGTCCCTCCACCCATACCCAGGCCCACATCCCCACACCGCCATGCTGCTCCACCCGCCGCCACACGCACACCCCGCAGAGCCACTCCTCGCCCAGGGACTGGACATACATGCACACTAGCTGTGGGGGCAGTTAGGGAGTGTGTGTGTGTGAGTGTTGGCAAATGACTGTATGAATCTGTGTATGTGAGTGTGTGCGATGATCCATATGTGTGTGTGTGTGTGCGCGCGCTGCTGTGTATGTGTAATGACACATACAGAACACTATTTAAAGAAAAAAGACACATTTCTCCGAAAGTTTACATTCCCCACTGAGAGACACTGACCTCTATGTAGCTGTTCCACTCGCTAACACACACACAGACACACAAGTAGACATAAACATAACACACACACACACACCGTCGTCTGGACCCACAGATTTAAGCCATACCTCTTTCAGAGTAGAAGTGCTTCCTCCTCTCCAAATGTCTCCACTGTGTCCTGTGGGTGAGACACATGCTTTAAACTACACTTCCCATCATGCCTGCCGAATCACAGGAAGACGGTCGTCCGATCGGAGAGACAGATGCATATTTATCCCCAGACTTTGCAACTGCACACGGACGTTACTGGATGGGACCTGATCCTGTGAATACGCCTTCGTCACTACTCCCTGTCTTCCTTCACACGTTACACACACAAACACACACTTTATTTAAAGCTGATTTTTCCGGGTTTTTTCTTATACTATTTTTGTATTTATGTGTGCCACGCCAGACGGATGCGGCTTCACGTGAGCTTGTTGAAATATTAGTGCTCTTCCTCAGCATGAAGCTAAACACTATGAATGACTTCCAGTCTGCCTCGCTCTCGTACCACTGACCTCCTTAAGATGCCAACCGGTGTCCGTTACCTTAGGATCGTTCCTAAACTCGCGCAAACACACAGAATACACACATAGCAACATGCACTACACTGAAAACCATTTCTACACACACACACACACACACACACACACACACAATCGTCTATAAGCATTTCTAGTTCATTTTGTCTGTCACAGCGGTGTGTGAGGGGAGCTGCAGCCAAAGGACTCTTAAAACATTCGGCTCCCTCTCCACTCTGCACGAACTGCTGAAACATTTCTGAATGATGATGGGAAATACAGTTAAAGTATTAAAATGTTTTTTTTGTAAGACTTGTCACTCGTCATCTGTTTGTGTTTGTTGTCTGAGTCATTGCTCTGGCGCAGGTGGTGATGGATTTGAAGTATCCGACAACAGTTATTTGTATAGAGGAACTGTGTAGTCAAGGTAAAGAAACTGAAAATGCAGGTCAGAGTGTCCCATTTTTATCCTACACGTTTTAAAACAGGTTTTTAGTAACTAAATTGATAGAGGTCAGTATGCATAGATTTACTTGATTTTGGATTGAGTGTGCAGTTTTTATCAACAGCTTTTGTTAACTGCACAAAACAAAATGGCAGATTTTGGTGAGATAGGAAGAATCCATCCATCCATCGTCAACTGCTTATCCTGCGTACAGGGTCGCGGGGGGGCTGGAGCCAATCCCAGCTGATATCGGGCGCAAGGCGGGGTACACCCTGGACAGGTCGCCAGGAGATAGGAAGAATATTTTTTTAAACTATTTTGATTAGAAACTAGCTCAATTTGTATCACTTCCTGTTAGTACAAAAAGGTAAACTACATTAATTTATTATACACAAACTGCAAGTTAAAGGGAAATTCAGCCATTCCAGAGGAAAAATTGTTGATATTTGAACTCAATAGCCAAACAAAGACACTTTCAGAAGCTCTGAAACACATTATTGAAGCAATCCTTATATTATACCTGTATTTATCATAACATTATCGCCAGGACGCAGAAGAGGGAGAGCGTCCAGCTGGAATTGTGTTTGTTTGTTTCCCACTTATAGAGCCAGGGCTGTGTACAAACACCAGATTTGTCTTTCAGTACACACACAGAACGGACAGATGGCGGACCATGAACAGACATTCACTGAATTTGATAAAGAAAAGTGAATTGGATTAGAATCGCTGACTGCACCTTTAATTAGTTGGTTAGTTGGTTACTTAGGTCATTTTTCTTTTACATGTAACATTACAATGCAAACAAAGAACTTTGTCTTTTGTCCCAAGCTGAACAAATAAAATCTGCCACAAAGACGTTCCCTTCATATCAAAACTAAAAGGTTTTTTTTATAATCAGAAAACTGGAAGAAGTAATCAAAAATTACATTTTACTAAAAACAATACTCTTGAGCTATATATAGCTATATATAGCTATATAGCTATATATAGCTCAAGAGCTATAACCTTTGTTTAAACGGGTAGTAGATTCTAAATAATAATGGACCTAGTGCAGAATCTTTTGGTACCCACCTGGTTATAAAATGGGAGGCTGGTGTGAAACCATCAGTACAGATCATTATCTTTATTATCTTTATCGACTTTATTTTATCCCTTTTATGACTTTATTTTATCCCTTTTATTTTACTGTATTTTACTAATTTTTTATATTTATCTTAAACGTATTTTAGTCTTTTCAATGTTTTCCATGCTTTTAGCTTGTATTGTTTTTGTATTATTGTCTCGTGGGTATTATTGTCTTTACACTTGTTAAAGCACTTTGTAACTTGTTTTTGAAAAGTGCTCTACAAATAAAGATTATTATTATTATTATTATTATTATTATTATTATTATTATCAATAATTAGCAATTAAACATATGAAACATATGAAATAAACGTCAACTTCAGTCTCACCTACATCCCATTACAACAAAGTCTATGCTCTTCATGGAGACCATTACTGCTGCCTGTTTCAATAGTTAAAGGTAAAGTACTTGAGCGTAATAGTGCACATTTACTGTTGGTTACAAATAAGGCTTTAAAGGCTTTTTCATGAGACAATTATGTTTATAATAATTTGGAGGTTTCCATCCTGTATCGCCACTGATGCCCAAATCAGTGTAAGGTATGAACCGCCAGATTGAATTGTTCTGCAATATTATACTATGCAGTTTATACTGTATACGGTAAGTGGAGTGACTCTGATGGAGACCTCAGGCTGCGGTCACAGTGATCTGGAACACAGGCTCACAGTGAAGAAAGATCTTCAATGCTTTAATACTTCACAGCACAGACCAGAGCGCGTAAATATTTTCCAGTCCACACATCATTCCTCCCTACTTGCTTATCACCTGATGTAAGGATAATATCATGTGTCATACACTTACCAAAACTTAAACAACCTCTACGTTATCCCTCCAAACTTTTCCCATCACAGCTCCTGATGTACATGGCCTTACCCATAACCTTCACCTCTTCTCTGATCTACATCCTTTTAGCCGTCAAACATCCATACATAATTTCACCTTTTGCCACCCTACATCCACCAGCAACACCCCAAACACACAACAAATAGTGAATACCCTCCTCACCCTGCCCCCATTCGCCCTGGAGCAGGAAGGGGTCAGGGGCCAGAGTTTAAACAGAGGTCAACAGGAAATGGCTGTTCTCCCTGGCACTCAGGTCCTGACCTCAGCACCCCTCTACTTTTCATTTCTCTTTGTCCGTCCACACACTCACTCCAAAGACGTGTTGGTCAGGGTGGGCCCCTCACTTTTACTCTTTCACCTCTCCACTGCCATTTTTTTCACAACATGTAACATGTCTTGTAAAACAGTGCAACAATTTCAATGTAAACCTGAGTCACATGGAACACTCTACATGTATACGGTCCATAAGGATGTTGCTTTAGACCAGTCTGATCTGAAACATCAGTCACTTAAAATCTTTCCTCCAACTTTTTTCTGAAGCAACATAATATAAAGAAAAGTTCATATCTCTCTATTTCACTTTACTTACATAGAGCTCAATCGATAAATATGCATTTATGTTAAAATAAGACTAAGGGTATCAGTTACAGCAATCCATCTAATGGTGGTCAAGACACTCAATATCACAAATGTCAACCTTATGTTTGTGCTAGATGAAAAGTGAAAAGCTGAAATGGATCACCAGAGTTATTAGGAGTCATCCACAGGGCAACATCAACATTTCATTTTTGTTAAGCTATTTCAGTCGATACCAAAGTGGTGGACCGAACGACAGACAGACACTTCATTATTTGTGTTTATCCTTAATGTATCAGTAAAATGTTCACTGACAACATTTATCTTTTTTCCCCCAACATCTATTCGCACTGGTACAGCATTATGAAACTTTTTTTATGGATCTGTTTTGACACTTGTAGCACTTGGTTATGTTTCCGGAAAGATTGTGGTCTTGGTTCAGTACAGAGAAGGTTTAACATTTAACCAAAACAATGTACTTTCCCCAACTGGATCAGTCAGGCTCTGCTTTCTACACACAGATTCTTTATAAATACAACTGAACCTGTTTATCTAGATTCATAATGTCTGAACTCACCACTCTTGAAAGATTTTCTTTTTATCTCGAGCTATTTGAAAACAAGAATCCTAAAATGTATAATCCTGCAACTTCCTGACCCAGGCAGGGACCTAAGCAGAAAAATCAACAACACATACTTTATTCTTAGATCAGTGAACAGCCCTACTAACTGCAGTCACTAAAACACAGCATAATTCATAGCCATAGCCTCAGCTTATGATTGGTTCAGATAGATTGCCAGCCTTTTCTCTCACCAACACAAGACTCCATTAGACGGTGGGAATTACGCCTCATAAAATCTGCCTTTATGTCGACAAATAAAGAGGTGCAGGGGAAAGGGAGGGACAAGCGCTTGAATGTCTTTGTGTTTCAGTATTTGTGATTTGTAGAGAATACAGCGTAGGGAAGTGGAGCTTGTTGTTTAGCCTCCCAAATCAGAGGTGTATGGATTTGGCTTGCGAATAGCACATTTTTGTGGGAAATGTATTTTATAAAATTCGCAAATGTTGAAACATTTTGGTTAAAATGACAACAGTGTGATTGTCATTTAAAATGAGCTCCATTGCAGTACTTGTACAGTGTTGGCCTCGTGCAGGATGTCTTCATATATATTGCGCTCACTGAATTGCTACACTCCTTATAATGTCTCCATCATTTCAAGAGTCCCACTGGTTTGAATTTGACCATTTGGGCAATTGAAGCAAAATGAATACACATGTGTAATGTGGAAATGTGCACGCCTGCGTATGTCAGGGCATGAATATGTGTGTGCATAAATATGTACAATGCCATTTTAACATAAAGTGTGTGCCTGTGTGTGGGAGGGGTGGGTTCCTCTGCTGGTCATTAATCATTCAATTACACACCTGTCAGAGTTCAGACAAGTGGGAGAGAGGGAGGGGGAGGGACTGGGTGGAGGGGGAGAGTAAAAGAGAGGGAGGGGGAGAGAAAGAGAAAGGAATGGAGGAATGCAGGCGAAAGGAGGAAGAGCAGGGAGGAACTGAATGAAAAAGGACCAGGACTGTTAAAAAGAGAAAGAGAATGGGTGAAAGTTTTATTGTGCTGCAGTGTGTGAACGAGCCGTGACAGAGGCAAGCTGTTGGATGGCGACAGCCTCTGAAAGGCCACAGTAAAGACAAAGACACTAACATGTATTATAGAGGACAACTGACAGATGAGGACAAGGCAGGCCAGCACAGTAAAGACACAATCAATCTCCACACTTTCTCCAAACTAATTTAAGAGGATTTCTGAGCTGTAAGTGAAGCAGCGGAAGGCATCTTTAGGGTATTTAAAGCACAATGATCATTAATAAAATCGGGCATAGAATGCGCCAGGAAAGCAGAAATTTATTATGACATACAAAAGCAAATTGTAGTTATTTTATGTCTAATAATGTGTTTGTAATGGTTACATTCCTTTACATTTTCAGAAAGAAACATGCTCACGTACTAAAAACATATAACAGTCGTAATGATTTTCCTTTTTTGTTGGGGTATACTAATACTACATACTAATCTTCGAGGTTTTACGAGGGCTTAATTTACTTGACATTTTGCATTAACAGGAAAATATACAAGATGAGATGGAGAAAGTATTGAATTATATACTTTACTTAAGTAAAATATGAAAATAATTATTTATTATTATAATTAAAGTAAATTAAAGTCCTGCATTTAACTTCAGTAAAAGTACATTGGTATTATGCATTTTTACCTGTGCATTGATGTGTAAACAACCTTTTACTGTTGCAGCAGGTTGAGGTGGAGATTATCTGAATTACTTTATGTACTGTAGTTTAATCTATCACCTTGTATCATAAAGTATATTTTATATGCAACACCTTAATCTGTACAGTAACCAGTAACCACAGCCATCATGTAGTGGAGTCAAAAGTACAGTATTTAACTAAAGTCAAATTTGTACTGTAAGTGAGTGAATGTATTTAGTTACATAATGGTTATGAAGGTTTCTTGATTTCTGTGGACACTGTGGAAATAGAGACACTGTTGTACTGCATGTGGCTCTTTGTCTCCTGTTTCTCCTCCTTCTATACAGTATATGTTTAAGTGTTTGTATATGTGAGCACCCCACACACTAATCTTCTGTGTGTGTGTGTGTGTGTGTTGCAGTCTCCATGTTTAGCTGCAGTACCTCGAATGCCCCAGGCCACAGCCATCTGTGCCCCCCCCCCCACCCCCCTCCAAGCCCCGCCCCCCCATTTCAAATACACACAAATACACACACTCCTCTTCTCTTCTCTTCTCTTCTCTGCGGACCCCCTCCTCCACTGCCGCCACGACTGCCATATATCTAATTTATGGTCGTGGTGAGTGCGTTACACACACTCACGTATGCATAATATATCACATGTGTGAAAGAACTGTGTGTGACAGTGTGCATTGGCCAGCATAGTCTTAACCACAACTCCTTCCTCAACGCCTCAAGTGTTGCTGTGTGTTTGTGTGTGTGTGTGTGTGTGTGTGTGTGTGCCCAGTAAATGTGTGATCCGGCATGTATCACTTTGTTTCTTCCCACAGATCTGACAGCACTGATAAAGTGTGAGAGGAGAAAGGGAATATGTGTGTGTGTGTGTGTGTGTGTGTGTAAAGGCCCAGCTGTTTGTGTGAGTCCGACATCCACATGCAGGCAGAATGCCAGATGTCTCATTAGGCAAATTTGATTGGCTCGGCCATTTAAAATGCAGCGACGATACGGTTCCATATGTGTGTGCACATTAACATAAGAGGCCCCGCCGTATAACTATCTACATGTGTATGCATGTTCAGTGTATGTGCATTCATGAACTATTTTGGTAACATTTGAGTTTACTGCTAACTGTTATGACAAAATGTGGTCATATTAACTATCTCCTGCAACGATGTGAACTTGATAGAATAGAAAAATGTACTGCAAATTACAACATGTAAAATAGATGAAATGGCAAAAGCTTCCACTGAAATGTTGCTACTTCACTTCCTACGAACATTTCAACTGTCTCTTCTACTCCATTTTGTGCTTTTATCTCTGACAGACGCTTGAACCTTTCAAACTGCTTCAACTTCAACTCCTTTAACATTTCATTCACTTCTGCTATTTGTGTCCTTCAACCTCAACTGCCAATCGTTTTTAAATGGTTACTCTGCAACTATCACAAGTGCTTCAACTTCAGTCACTACTTCAACACCTTTTATTGCTTCATGCTCAACGGCTAACTCATCTTCTCATGTACTTTCACCTCTTTTGTTGCGTCACCTGTTACATATAGTAAAAAAGAGCAGGAAACAGAGTGCATTAACGCAAACAAGAGCTGCTGGAGATGCGGCCGTGATCACCAAGTGGCTAAATGTACCCTTAAGACCGAGCGAAAACAGTGTGAAAAAAAAGCCCCTTGAGGTTTTCATGAGATCCATATCAGCCAAAATGCTGCAGCATCTGCTAAACCCAAAGCGACTGAAGAAAGCACTTGCTTGCTAAGTTTCTTCTCAGAGACACTGTTCCTAGATCGGCCAACAGGTGGCAGCCATGTGTTACTCGAGTTAAGTCGTGTTATCCTCCAAAGCGGCAACAAAGGTACTAGAGACGTGCGCTATAGTGGATGATGGTTCAAGAGCGCATCATACGCTGCTCATGCGCTGATCGATTAGGCCTGCACGAGGAAGCTGAAGACCTGGCACTCTAATTTCAATTGCCAATTCAACTTGTAAAAAAGTGCTTATTACTCCGCTGTAATTAAATTTCAGTGTTTCATCTTGACCTGCAACTTTATTTGTGTTCTGTGCCTCATTTGCTGCCTACTGCATGTTTAACTCATTCAGTTGCTAGACTGCTTCTTAAATAATTTTTTAAGTTTTTCAACCTCAACTCCCCTCGGCACAAATTCTATTAAGTAAGGCTCACAGTGACATAAAGAAAGAAAAGAGCAGACAATTTAACAAAAACATAAAATATGAAAATGCATTTAATAAAAGGAGGGAGGTAAAATGATAAACATGCATTTCAGACTCATTTACAGTAACTGACTTCAGCTACTACTTGACGTTCAAATACTTTAACAACGTTCGGTGCTTCAGCGTTAACTTCCCTTTCAACAAGATTTTGTGATTCAACTTCAACTTAATTGCTTTAACATCAACTTTAACTTTATCACTGCAACATCTTTTAAAATCTTTACACTGCAACTGGCATTGCTACTATCAGCGCTAACGTGAGGAACCACAACTGCTCGTTCAACTCCTTTAATTTCAGCTGCAATTTTATATTTTCAGAGCCTTAACTTTATCTCCTACACGTGCAATCCTGTTCCTACTTCGAGGCAGCCTTAAACCTACTCCATGTGAGCTACAGTATTTATAGTATTGTGTGGGTAATGCATGCAATGTCACTTTGTGTGTGTGTGCGCATTATGTGTGAGAACAAAAAAACATCTGCAGGGACCCACCAGCTGCACAGCTGTTGCTGCATGCAGTGACATTGTCTCTCAGTATTTTTGAAAATTCCATAAACCAATACAGATTTTATATATTTTTTCTTTTTACTATATTCCCCAGTAAAAATGCAGTGCTATCTTATTCCATCAATTAAAAATCAATACTGTGTATATTCTGCAAACTGTAAATAAAACTTTTAATAGGCTAAAAGCTATACATCTCACAGGAGGTTTAATGCTGCCCTCTAGTGGTCCAAAGAGGAAAACATGTTTATGTTTTGAGATTTCTTGTGAAGCACAAAGTGAGCTTGTCTTTGTAAAGTCCTGATGCACTTTGGCTTTATAAATAAAATTTCAAAGATGGAACAGTGTATAAATAAAAGAGAAAAGCTCAAGGGGTAGTTCAACAGCATTATATTCAGTCTTGGTAAATCAGAAAGAGCGTCACTGAGTTAGAGAGGAACAGAAAGACATGCCCCTGAAGTAAAAGGCTTTATAGCACTAAAACAAAGATACCATGATATCCGGCAAAATAGGTAACGATTATTTTAAGCTTAAATTATTGATTTTCTGGCCACTTTCAGGGCAGAAGAACGCCACGTCAAGCCGAAAATACACACCTATCAGATAACTAATGTGTTATGGCTAACATGTTAGCAAACAGTAGACACAGAGCAACATATTCTCTCTCCTTTTTAATCTGCTTTGGTCTCCACCAACTCCTGAGGGAAATATCTGGCATTTAGCAGCTTTAGGTGCTAAATGCAAAATAAAAATCTCTTCATCCCTTTAAACAATTCCTTTAAATTTATCTTAGGACCCCTGGAGGACTCCTGACCCCCAGGTTGGCGACCACTAACTCAGGCAACAGTATAATGAGTACCGGCATGTTCATAATATAACTGAGACCAGCGTGTTAATGACACTGATCAAAAGCTTTTCTTGCCCTCTATAGAAGATGAATCTGAGCATGACATGTTTATGGGTTATGTGGCAGCTTTTGGGAGGGTTTGTCTGAGAAGATTTTGAGGTAGCCTAATTTGACATTCTCTAATTGGATCAAAAATGTGTGGCCGCCATTCATTGCTTGTCAGGTCCATTCTTCTTCTTCTCTCCATTACAGTCCTCTGTGGTTCTCTTCTCCTGCCATACATAGAGCCTGTCTCTCCTCCTGTTTGCTCCTTATTACGTCTTGCTGATTACAGTCTGATGCGAGAGTGGACGTCTGTGACTCGTCCTCAGCTCCTTGTCCATTCTCTTCCTTCAGCAGCTGCAGAGCCTCTTTGGGGCTTTCTGTCTGCTGCTGTGACTCATCAGTACTAACAGAGTCAGATTGTTTCCCACTTTCCCCTTTACTCCCAGTTTCTGTCTCAGAGTTCTCTGTAGCCCTCTCCCGACACGCCTGCCTGCGAATGGTCCGTCGGTGATTGCTGCGGCGGGATTGGTTGCAGTGCAGGGTGCGCCTACGGTGCCATTGGTTAAGAGAGTTTTGGGCTTCGACGCTGAGCTGACGAGCGGCCACTCGTGGCTGGAAGCTGCTGATGTAGTAAAGAGAGGCGTATAGAGTTGTAAGGTAGTAGCCACCTGTTGATATGGGGAATGCAGAAAAGGAGACGGTCTGTGACTTGTAATTAAACAGTACTTAAATCTCTAAAATCATCTACTAAATGAAGTTGGGAGTCAAACTCATTTGGAGACGAGAACTGAGTTGCACCAGCTATTCATAGATCCTTCCTAAGTTCTTCCTCAGTTACTACAAGCTAGTTTCAAACTAGGAATTTACTTAATCTGGAGGCAATTTATTACACTTTGTGTTTTTGTACATGCATACATAGAGAGTGTGTTTTGTTGAGATAAAAGTATTCATGCCGTTTTGAATGAGTGGGAAACATCCGATTATGTTAATCTAGCTGATGTTATTTGGTCATTTCAATAAAGGTTATTGGGATATTGGTGTGTTGTGCTATTTTCATGAAATGTAACAGAACTACAGGTACACCTGGCAGTGACTGGGTGAAAATATTTAGTTACAACTAATCTTTACTTAAGAACTAATTTGTGCTGTGAAAACTGTTTTAACTGAGTGTTCTGTAAATCTCCACACAAGTGCTGGTGCAACAGGGTCCAGAAAACAAGGCAACTAAAGAATCAGCCAAACTGCCCACGGCAGTGTGTTATTATTGTATCTGCCTTACCCTCTCCCTGTAGCTGTGTGGGGTCCAGCAGCTCCATCATGTAGTCCGTGTCTAGCTGTAAGGTGACAACGGGGCTACGGAGCAGCACCCACGTCAGGCACGGCAGGAAATCATCTGCTCCAAATACTGTACCTGCAGGAGAGGAGATGAGAATGTGAATTTAAAGGTCAATTAACAGACAAACAAGGTGCCAGTCCAGACAGCCTTGCAGCCGAGCTAAAGATATAATAATCATAAAAGCAAAACGCCTGCCTACCTGAGCTAGCATTAGTGCTCATGCTGTGATAGATGGTCTTGCAGACTTTGAGCAGGATCTGGACCTTCCTGTTCGGGGAGTAGGCCTCATGTATACTAGTCCACCTCTGCTGGATCCGCTCCAGGGTAAGAGATTCGGGAACACCAACTCCAGCCGAACCCCCCAGGTCGTCTATCCCTTTCCTTTCCAGCACACGCAGGTTTCTCTGGAGGCGCTCAAAGGTGCCGTCGGTGGTCCGGGAGGCATGAATGCAGGAGTAGAGGTGTGCTGAGACGGGCTTCAGAGCCACCTTGTGGAGGGAAAGCTCTACCAGGGAGTCTACAGGAGGGTCGAGAGGTATGGAAGGAGAAATTAAAAGGAGCTCTAACCATTGATCTACTGAGCTGCAAGATAATGACACATTTTCTGTTAATTATGTTAATACTTCATTGAATTTTACAGTTTTATTAATCTATTGTCAAACCTCACTGTCAGCTCACTCACCGATATCTGAGTCATTTATGTCAGTAATGCTTTCCAACAATGTCTGGATGTCTGGATGGTCCAACAGTGTCTCCCTCAGTGACGTGAGCGATGACCTCACTTCCTGTAAGAATTCGGTCCCCCTGACCCCGTCGGGATCAGTCCCTCTCTTCAGTGTCATCTCCACAAATCCTTTCACAGCCTCTGCAAACGCCCCACCTTTGCGCTCGCTCAGCTCCTGCACACGATTGGTTAGTCTTTTCCTCTGACTTACCAGTCCACCAAGAGCCTGACCAACCGCTGAGAGCCGGTGTATGACCTTGTCAGCCAGCCGTTGCGCCGACTGGTGGTGCGTGGTAGGGCTTGATGTTTGGGACTCCTGCTCTTCCTCTATGCTGCTGATTGACAGCGAGTCGAGCTCTAGTGATGGGGGCTGGAGTAAAGAGGAAGGCCTGGGCGGGGGAAGCCAGACTCCATCTTCTATCCAGGACACCCTGTGAGGGGACTGAGGCACGGGGCTGCCATGGCGAGGCGGCTCAAACAACGAGCGATTTGAACTTTCAGGAGTGGAGGGAGGAGATGGAGGAAGGCTCCCCGTGCTCACTCTGTCAAGGTTGCTGGAGCCAGAATCTCTGCTGGGCCTCCTGAGAACCACCCCTGCTGGAGTAGCTGGTGTTGACGGGGTGGGGGGACAATGTGGTGAATCAGCTGACTTTGCTCGGGTTAGACCTGGACAAGGAAAACATGGATTATGAACACCATGTTGGCAATGAATTCAGCTGAACCCACTTTAAAATCACTTATGGAGCATAGTGAAGACAGACGGGACCCACTTTTACCACAATAAAAATACCCCACATAGTTTCAGGTGAAACTGTGTGGGTGAGTTTGCCGTTGCGTTTACAGGGTCAATTCAGAATTACACAAATACTGACTTTTCTACTCTAGTGGATCCCTCTCCCCCCGGTTTTTGTCTGGGTTAAACAAATTAGATAACCTGTTAATTAGCTAGGCTAGCTGTTTCCCCCTGCTTCCAGATTATATGCTAAATTAAGATAACTGACTCTCTGGCTGTAGATCTATGTTTAAACAGAAAGTTATGAAAATGGAATCAATCTTCTCACCTAACTCTGCAAGAAAGCAAATAAGCGTGGTTCCCAAAATGTCAAAGTGTTCCTTTAAACTGTTTTTCACTTGATTTTTTTAAAGAGCACTGGACCTCATATACCCAACATATAGAAGCAAATATCTCAAAACCTGGGAAAGTGAAATTAAAACTGCATTGTCAATCATCACTACTGGCAATTGAGAAAGTATGTTTTTCATAATTTTGGTGAAGTGGCCCTCTAAAGTCAGAGTAGCAAATTTCTCAACAAATTCTCACCAGAACTCTCAATACTGGCAGCAGAGGGTTCCTGTTCCAGCGAGATGGCTCGTTTATTTTGTAACGCCGCCCCTGTCCATGTTCTGCTGGTGCTGAGGCGTCGGCCTTGTCTGAGAGTTGATGACTGGGTGGGGCACTTCACGGCAGTCGGCCTGTTGGTCAGCCAATCATCTCCGTGTTCACGTAGGTAGAGGGGATTGATGATACACAGTGCCCCGTTGGTGGAGGTCAGCTAAGGAAAACACAAAGGCAAGGCAAGTTTATTTGTATAGCACATTTCAACAACAAGGTAATTCAAAGTGCTTTACATCAAACATAAAAGCAACACAGGGAAACACATTAAAATATAATTTTGAAAAGGGTGAAATAGAAAATAAAAACAGGATAATAAAAAATACAGGGTAAAACAGGACAGTAAAAGTTACAGTGCAGTGTACAATCAGGGTTAAATAAAAACAGGCTGAGGGGTTGAGCAAATAGCTGAGTTACAATTATTTTTTGTTTTTGAAAAGAGAATAAGCAGAGAAGTATCTACTCTCTCTAGCTAGTCTGTACTCTGGTCCATAGCAATATTTGGGTCTACTGAGTTTGGTTATGTCTGAGGCTACGCGCTGAAAAACCCAACTTATCAGCTAGAAACCCCATAAACCTTTGGACACCACAGAGAAACCAGGACATGTCTGTCCGCAGGCCACTTTGATCCAGTTATACTCTGGACCCACTTGCGCGTTTACAGGTGAGCAGAGGGTCGTGCAAATCACACTGAGATTTAAGACCACTTCCTTCACTCTGTTCAACCTTACTCTCTTTATCTTTTCACTCAATTACCTACTCATTTCTCACCGTGTAAATAGTGTTCCCTGAAAATCTAAAAACAAAGAAAAAGAAAACAGGACGTTACAGTGCAGTGAAAGTTACCAATCTACGATTGATTTAACTGAAGGAAAAGTCTTCAGTCTTAATTTAAAAGCACTGACAGTTTCAGTAGACCTGCAGTTATCTGGGAGTTTGTTCCAGATATACGGGGGATAATAACTAAACGCTTCTCCATGTTTAGTTTTGATTCTGGGAACAGAAAGCAGACCTGCCCAAGATGACCTGAGAGGTCTGGATGGTAATAGAAAGAAATAGGATGGCGTGAGGGAAACTGGTAAATCTCTGTGGTTTTGACATAGTGGTTTGATCCAATGTTAATATTGAAATAAATTAGTGCAACTTTAAAGTCCTGAGACACATGCTGCATTTTTGCGCACGCACACACACACACACAGTGTCGCACAGTATATACCTGTATGGAGCACATTAAATTGCTTGTCTCCCCGTGGGTCATTTCATCAGTCTGTTGGTCAGGTGGTGAGAGCCAAGTTTCTGCATTAGAGAGGTGTTATAAATAAGTTTTTGAACATATCTTTCTGGTTTCGTCTTTCTGACGTAACTTCTGGGAGAGGATATGAGACAGAAAGTCACAGAGATGGAAGACTCACCCGGTTCAAGTTGAGAGAGACAATCTTTGCTCTTCTCGGTTACACTGTAGATCCAGTGAGGAATGGAAAGACAAACAGCCACCACATCCCTGACAAAGAGGAAGAATAAAATACATTTGGGTCAAGAGGTTTGGCCACAGTTCAGTCAACGTACAAGCATGTGTTGCTCAGGATTTCAACTGAATATAAAATATGAAAATCAAAAGGTTTAGGAGTGCCATGCACTGTTTACTGCGGAGGATTGTTCACTTGTTAGCTCTAATATGCAGTAATATGGTTATTTATGTATCTGCTGACAAAATGGTAGAGAAGTTTAAATGAAAGTTCAATCACACACAATAAACAAAAAGGCCTCAGTGATACAGCAGGTTCTTACCTGGTCAGAGAGTAGAAGAGCACGAGCTGAGCCAACTCAGAGAAAGACAGACGAGACTCAGACAGCTGGAAGACTGACACAGTGATATAGAGAAAGAGCAGGCAGAATTAACTATTGAATTATACATTCCTGGAAACACACTGATGCTTGAACCAGGAAGATTAAAAGGGGACTTCTAAAGATAAGGCAGTGCAACCAGTTCATACATTTTATTTTCACATTAGCTTCACTAGCCATCAAGTCTGATATAGTGTGGTTTCTAACTCTGACAGGTCCAAAGGGTTACCTGTCTCTTCTCTCTTAGTAATAGTAGCACTAATTCACAGTGTAAGGAACCAGTTTTTGCAGTTTGAAAGTGACCAGTCCGTATCTGATTACCTCCGCTCACCTGTAACAACTTTGACCTGTTTGTACTGCTGGTACATTCAAGCTCAACAGCAGAAAGTTTTACTACTAACATGTGACATTATTGAGTTACCGCCACAGTTTATCAGTTGATCTGTCAGTTTGACTTAATGATTCATAGAATAACCCCTAAAAGTGAAAACGTAGTGACAGAATCATACACATACACACACAAACACAGAAAGAGAATGAAGTAGGTGGTAGAAGTAGGTTACCATGCAGTTAGTCCATACCTGTGCCTGTGCTTCTGATATTGTAGTCAAGAACTGCTTCATTCTTTCCTCCAGCAGACACGCACAGCAGGCTGGGCTGAGACGTTACAGAGTCCCGCACAACCAGGAAACTCTGGAGAGAGAGACACACAGTGACTCATTTCAGTGGCTGAAGTGTTAACGGAAGCATGTTGAGCAGGAAGATGGTTTCTCTTAAATATTAAGCTACTTCTAAAGTGAGAGTAACACTGGGTCATTGTTTCTACGAAAAGACTGGATTGATCTGATCTTGAAAATTGGTCATGATGACAGGTTGTAACCAAACTAAAAGTCACGTCAACAGCAAATTCCCCAGGGCTCGCAAGGGCTGATAAGTGCTGCATAGCCTTTTGTTCACTCACAACACTGATATGACGCACACATACGCATACATTCAATGCTTTTGTCAATGGCTCTTGATGATGTTCGTACCAACATTTCATAGCAGGATTTGATCCATCTTCATGATATTTCCATCTGCTGATGAAAACTATGTGATATAATTTGAAAGCTAGGAAAAAAAATTCTGAGTGGACCTTGAGTAGAGATCAAATGACTAAATCCAAGTTCAAGAATGACCTTTGATGCTTAGGATTTGGACAGTTTTTCCAAGCCTCCATGCAGATACTCTTAAACTCTGTATGATTTGAAGCTGTGAAGTCTGAAGATTTTCTTTATGGCCCACCTGAGCTCTGTTCAGCGTCAACACCCAACAACTGTACTTTGTTGTTTAGCCCTAATCAGCAAATGTTAAGCATGTGCCCAGGCTATACTAAGATGGCAAACATGATAAAAAATTATACCTGCTACACAGGAGCGTATTTGCATTACCATTGTGAGCATATTAGCATACTGACATTAGCATTTAGCACAAAGCTGTTCAGACTCACAGAGCTGCTAGAGTTGTTATTAGCTATTGCTCTTGCATTCAGGTTCACATGCACATACCAAACTCCCACTGTCTCTGATTGTGACTCATGGGTTTCCTTTCCATCATAATGGCATGACTAATGCAGTACTGCAGAGATATTTGTCAATCTGTATTTGAATTTTAAATACATTTGAAAAGATTCCTCAATCATTAAAAGCCCTAAAAATGTTTCCCCCACCATCTTCTTGCTATGACTAATCAGGTGCAACATGAACACGCAATTTTAGCCAAAGTTGGAACAGTTTTGGTTATTTCACACAAACGATTTCTCTGTTTTTTGTTCCTGAAGTAGGCAGGGCTTTGGAAAAAGGTAATGCCACGTATTTCCATTTACATCAAAGTCAGATGCCAGTAAGTGTGCCTATGCTGTCAGGCCACTGCCAATTAAATGTGATTAAACCACACCAACAGTCCTGATGATGCAGAGTAGCTGAGCTTTTATAAAGAAAAAATGAATACCTGAATTCATTTATAACATATCATTTTCAATTATACATAAGACATAAAAAACATAAAACATATTATCAACAGCCAAAACACCATGCATTGTTTTTTTACACTGACAGCTTTAACTGCATAGATGCTCCATCTGTGGAGACTACAGGTCTGATCACACTGCCTTCTTTGGAAACAGTAACTACAACAGAAGAGGCAGTTTGCTAGTTGAGACATACTTAACTTGGGTAAAACAAAGCAAACCAACGGTTCAGTCATGTAGCTACAACTAAATTCAGAGGTGCTCTCAGACGCCACCACACCATTATACACACACGCACACGGGAAGTGGCTTTCATGCTCTGTGTGCACAGAAATAGAGACAGAGACATAGATGGAGAAAATGTTCACTCCAAGTCATTACACTTTGAAACACAGTCACGCAGCAGGGCGTTGGAGATGTTATATCAATAAGCTGTCTGTTGGTTCACAACACCAACATTTAATCACTCATGCATTTGATTCGTGGAAACACATACTGGAAACCATTCAAGCAGAAATGAACAAATTAGCATTTTTGTATAGCATTTCAAATCAATGAAATCCGCTGGCCTACAACCACCATGAGGTACCATGTTTCACCGGGCACTGTTTTAATTTAATATTTATGAAACGCTTAGCTTTTCTGTGAGACTTTCTGTAGTAAAAAACCTTCCCCATGAACAAATACTCACATGTCAATGACTTGTTGCTGCCAGTTAGAGTTTTGCATGCATATTCCCTTTGATATATAGTTTTCTGACCTACTCACATTCTCTCTCTGCCACAGAGGTATCCACTTAGTAATGTCATTTCCCTGATAGGCGCACGCTTTTATTCAACACTACTTCTGCATTTCAATAAGAAGTGCTTGTTGTATTATCGGATGTCAAATAAAAAAGGAACTACTTTCATGTCGCAGAGATATGCATGTCAGTGTTCAGGCTGGCTAAGTGACACATGCAGACATTCCTACAGTGAGGAAGCCCGAGAGGATCAGCCATAGGATATGCAGAGAGTTGGGGAAAGTAGAAAGACTTATGGTCAGAAATGGAATTAGATGGACACAAAAAGATCCCCTCAAATTTGCTGAAAGAATTTTAAAAGTAGAAGAACAGCAATATGTCAAAGAGAAATAACACTGTAAGTAAATGTACAACTCTTCCTGGGAATCAGCATCACAGAGAACATGACATGGTCATCTCACATCTCCACGCTGGTGAGGAAAGCTCAGAAACAGCTGCATTTCTTAAGTAACTTAGGAAGGCTCAATTCCTGTGCCAAATTCTTGTCAGCTTTTACAGAGGAGCAACAGAAAGCATCCTGACTGGAAACATCACAAACTGGGCTGTTCACGGCCCAGGACAAGAGAAGATCAGAAGATCTTTGATACACATTTTCTGAACATCGGTGATATCGGCAGAACCCAAGGGACACTAAAAGACAGCACCCACAAAGCCACAGCCTGTACACCCTGCTGCCATCTGGTAAGAGATAAAGAAGTATCCGCTGTCGTACCACCAGACTTCCTCTCTATGCTCAGCTGAGGCAGCTCAGGAGCGCTTTCAGCCACAGACTCATCCAGCTCTGACTCTCAAAGCACTTAGGAGGCTCATTTGTGCCATCTGCCATCAGACCTCACAACGCCACAGCACCCAACATCTCTCATCTCCATCCATCTTATTCCGCTTATCCGGGGTCGGGTCGAGGGCTCCCATCTCCACTGATAGACTATTTCAGTTCTATTCATCTGTATTTTTATTGTACATAATTGTTAATGTTATCATTGCTATTTTATTTGAGTGTATATAGTGTGAATAATATAGAATCTATTCGCTCATCTACGTAGAATGCTAACTGATTCTACAGTGGTTTTATTGTATTTTGTTCCTCTTTCTTTACATTCCTCTATACTGCTTAATAAAGGAATAGCTTATCTTAGAGCAGCTTCTTCCCCCAGGCTGTGAGACTAGTTTTATTTCTTGCTTATTATGTATTCACCTGTTTATTGCATATCATTTTGTATACAATGTTTGCTTTTGTGAGTAGCATAAAGGGAACTACAACTTAATCTTGTTATACAACCCTGTGTTGTGAAATGATAAATAAATCTACCTTACAAGTCAATACAGTTGAAAGTAAATATATTCACCCCTTGTTTTGCTGCAAGATATGTGTCAAAAGGTAACAAATAATAAAAATAAAGCTAGTGGACAAAGCCCGAGACAACTGGCCCATTTAGGATCAGCAGATTAGATTTAGGTGATTTCTGTCATAGTAATACTAGTTAAGTTAAGTCCAAAATCTGGGATTTATTGCATGGCGATAAAAATATAACCAGAATGGGGGCTACAGCTTTTTCCAAAAAGGAGAATTATTCATTATTGGAGGAGGTTTGCTTTATACCCTATTTGCTAGTTAAACAATCTTACAGTTTTTTTTAGTTTAAAGGGCATTTTGAACATTTGTAAAAGCCATGGATTTCCTTGAATGTGTGGATCAGCGATCTGACCTGCTTCAGTGAATCCTCTAAACAAGTAAAACATTATTAGATGTAATTCATCATACTGACAAGTTGATGTAAAATTACACAATAAAAGGTAAGACTCCTTGACTGATTGATTTTTTCAGTGAGGAGGAGGACAGCTCACCCCCGCAGGTGTTCCACAGAGAGCAGCGTGGGCCCCCTCTCTATCCCAGGGTGCCCCGGGGCACCAGGCCTCCTGACATCCCCTCAGCTGCTGCAGCAGCGACAGCCTCCTCCTGCTGCCCTTCCACGGGATGGCCGTTGTCCCATTAACTGAACTGTGAACCGCCCTGCACGCAAACATATGGACACGTTTATGTGCATGTACAAACATCTAAATGCACATAAACAGCAGATCAGTGTGTAATTGCTGCTGCTGACGCCCTCATGCTCAAAGATTGAGACAAAGTTGAGGTTAGAATTATGATCTTTCTGGTGGACATTTTGAGTTTCTTGTGAGATTAGGCTTTTTGAACATTCATTTTCAATAATCAGACATAAAAATCAATAAATATTTAGAGAAAGACTTAAACACAAGCTTGAAAATACTTACATGTGTTGGTTTGGTTCAGTTAGTTCATGTAGATTTTCTGCTCTGCTCTAGCTTAGCACATATCTCCGCATGATGCAATGTTCTCTCCTTTGAACTCTTCCTTTCTGCAGGGCGCAATATGTTGCTTAAGAGCTCAAAATACCATCAGGGGCACACACACAAAAAAAGGAAGCTCACTTGCTGCTCAGAAATACATCCCCAAGACGTTTCCTGTTGCCATGTGCAGAACAGTTTGTTTCAAAATTCAGGTAACTTGTTGTAAGGCTGCCACATATGACTTCATCTGTCACTTGTGCATGCTGGCCTATAATACACTTTCACTTGTCATGTGAAACTGCTCAGCTGATGAAGGCAGCTCCCCTCCTCCGAAATCTGCATGTGGTTAACCCGGCTCTAAAAGACGCTGCCTGTTTTCTAAAATGCTACATGTGCTTATTTTCTCTCTCTGCAGCACCGTCTCTGACTCCTGCTCAGAAATTAAAAATGGTAAAAGTGAATATTCTGAGATTATCTGTGTTCTTAAATTTTACAGATTGTATCTTGCGGCTGTAGAAGAAATGAGATCCATACACTCTGGATTACAGATGTTAATATACATAAAAGTTAGTAGAGAGACAGAGCGGAGGATGCATGAGGGGGAGGTGGGGGGGTTGTCTCTCATGTGTGCGCGCGTTGATTTCCAGGCTGTCCAACTGTGTTGCTTTCACGGAAACTACATCAAGGTGTTGTTGATTGGTCAACATTTCCATGGCAAAATGACTCATGGTTTTCTTTTAGCATGAAGCTCCGTCACGTCTGTTTAAACCATTTCCTGCCAACACCACGAGTTATACAGTGGCAATGACCTATATGGCTGGCACCAATGAAGCCACATTAAGATGCCAAAACCAACTAATGGTCAGTCAGTCGGTCTGCTGTTGGACCCCTTTGATCCAGAATGGAATATCTCAACAACGATTAAATGGACTACCATGAAATTAATTCATGACAGTCTATTTTATGGCAGATCATTCAAACATTCATGATCCTCAGACAACACATCCTTCTGACTTTTCTTCTAGCCTAACATTTGGTTATGGGTTTCAGTGAAATGTCTTGAAATGAAAACGATTTGATGATCATGAAATCTGGCACACACATCCATGTCCCCTCAGAATAAATTACCGTAAAACTTTAAATAATAGCCTGGGATTTTTTTTACTCTCACCCTGCCTACATTTGAGAATGGTGTCTATAAGAGACAGGCTTTTAATGCCTTTCAAACAAAACTCTTGGTGAGCCATAATGGGAAATAGGCTACTATGAAAATGTTTATTTCAACCAGTATTACTTGTTGGGCTTTTTTCATCTCTTGTTACCATACCGGTAATTCAACGATTGAATCCAACCGATCTTACGGTGGTACATTTCAGCAGACATCTACGCAGCTTGGATCTGGCTCAAGCTGGCGACCCGGTGGGATTAACGTTTTATAATAACTTCTGTAAAAATCTGACTATGCTTCTAATTGTGGCCTGCGTTTATTTGTCAAAACGTGGAGCCACCCCAGGCCAGTAAAAGGGACAGGCGTGTCAAGTTTTACAGTATAATCAATTACAATCTGCCATGACTTTTCTTGTAGCACCATCAGGTTAAACATGTCCAATTCCTTGGTTAATGACTACATTAATGCAAAACCAATGACTGTCCCATCATCATCTTTACTTTGTGTTTAGTGCTAATTAGCAAATGTTAGCATACTAACATGCTAAACTAAGATGCTGAAAATGGTAAACGTTAAACCTTTTAGCTATGTCATTATCAGCATGTTAGCATGTCAGTGTCCACATTTAGCTCAAAGGCACAGCTGTGCCTCTTGTTTCTTTATCAAATGTATGCAACGTGTTTATCAGGGCAAAAACAAGGCTGAGACAAAGTAATCATTGTTTATGTTAATGACTTTGGTCTTTACAGACATTTGAAAATCTGGAAAACATGTAACACTACACTCACATTAAGCACTTCAAACACTAATTTAATGTTAGCATATTCCAGTGAATATAAATTCTGAGCCTGAGGACCTCAGCCAATCTGTTGACAACTTTCACAACTCCACCAGATTTCTCAAACTTTCCACTGTGAAGCTACTGTAAGTGGGAATATTTGATGAGAGGAGTACTTCAGATGGTGGTGCTGTGCATTGGTGTTTTTTTTTTCATTTCTCACTGGTTTAAAGTGGGCGACGCTCAGTTGGAAAATGTGATGTTATTTCTTTTTATGCACCAATCAGAGCAATATTTTAATCTAAAAAGTTGCGGGGGCTGCATGCTTATGTTTCCAAACCACTGTCAAGCGTAAAAAGCGTAAAACAGAGTAATTTGAACGGACTTGAAAATGGGCTTTCAGGGCTCTTCTACATTCACTTTTAGCCTGGTTTTACTTTAATTTTGGACCATCACAAAGTGGTATAACGTCATGCCAGCTTACCTCATAACCACATTTGGTACATGTGTACAATATATATCTGACACAGTCTCAACAAAAGTGAACATTATCAGTTTTACAAAGGTCAAATTTATTGCAGGATTGGTTGTATTGATTTTCATTATTATGTACAGATGGTAATGTAATTGTGTCCACCCACTATATTTTTGTATTTCATGGTGTAACAATTCATGCTTTTTCAGATACTAAAACCCAAATAGTTTCCTATGAAAATACTATTACCGGTAGTATTAACTGTATTGTACTTCATTATAACTTATTTTAGCAACTATTGTCTGTTTATCCTTCTTGTGTCTCTGCAGCACTTAATCTACCCCCAAAGTCATCAAACTCAACCAACTAAAGTCCTGGCTGCAGAAAGACAAAAAATGTATTAATATTTTGTGCAGTTTGTTGTTCAATAAACTTCTGAGAACAGTGTGTTAAAAGAAAGGAAAAAATCAATCAAACAGGAGCAGAAGGTTAATCTGAAAAGCACTGCTAATTTAAAACTTCTACATAAGCAATTATCCTATTGTTATATTTACAACTACCAGGAAGTACTTTTAAGAGGTCAATGACCAATCACGCCAACATATTTTGGCTCGAGGGAAAACATGACAGAAAAAATACAGACAAGCTGGCTATCTTATGTGTAAGCTTAGTCTGAAGAGAGTTGAGGTGGCTTGACCCAAGTCACTAAATTAGATGTGTGCAATAGTTGGTTTGGGGACAATGTTGTAGCTTGTCCTATAATGCAACAAAGTCATGATCACACTACCAGAGTATGGGAGATCTTAACAAACTTCCACACTCTGTGAGATCTGCAAACACATGTTGCTGAAATACAGGCATACTTGTCTACTGCAGTAAACTCTGCCCATGCATAAACTGCCTCAGGAAGAAATATACAGTTGAAACAAATGTAAGTCAATGCAATCAAATCTGGAAAGTAGGTTTAAGTGCAAACAGCTGATATAAACAGGAGCATTAAACACAGGGACGTCAGATGTCCTCCGAGCTTCTTCAGGAGATTAAATGGCCGCAGATGGAAAATGAGAGTGTGACAGACACTCGTTGAAGCCTCACTTCCAAACTCACACCATGGTATCATTATCTGCCAACGCCAAACCGCCACATCACTCCAGTAGCTTTTCTGGCATAAAAGGCAGCTTTTTTAATTAGTTACTCCTCCTTTGTGGTCTCTGGTGGCACTGATGCAGAGCTCGCCTTGGCTGCAGCTTCTTTGCTCTCACTGGTCTTCCCTTTCATGTCTTGACTGTCGATCCGGGCGTGCTCCTGCTTCACCAATTCTTCCAGCTCTGCCTGGAGAGAAGTGAAAGCAAACTTACAGACTCGACATGATGGAGGACAGACTGGTGAGCAGAAAGGTGACTGTAAGAAAACCAGATGTCCTTCCTTAGTGGTGACTTGAGACCACAACATCACACAGGAAAATCATAACACGTTACCCTGACATTTCAAAAGCTCTCACCTTTTTTTTTTTTGCTTCTGCTGCACCTCTGCAACGACAAGACTTTGTCTACTGCAGGTGCACCTTGTACCAAGTTGTTGTACTGTCTATTTAAGCACATCAGTGTGGTTCCATATCTCTAGATGAGTTCTATGGCCAATAAGTTGAGCTCTTGAAACTAGATAATTTACAAGCCAAACATCTTTAGTTTTCACTGAACATGACGCTCATTCACTTCCATTCTGAGACTTTGATGCGAGGATGGACACCACTCTCATGTTTGTATGAAACTTAAGCCAGCCAGTGTTTAGCTTAACTTAAGGTGGGAAATAGCTAGCCTTGGTCTCTCTAGAGTTAAAAACATAGCCAAAGCTCATAGATTAACACACTGTATCTATGTTTAATTCAAACACGATGTAAAAACATTTTGTGGTTATGTGATGCAGCATCTCTGCTGGTTGTCACAATAAGAACAAGACTCCAGGAAGTGGCTGTGTCAAGCTCCCTCAAAAAACAAAGTGAAAAATATTTCTATTTTTATACGGATTAAACAAACTAGATAGATCATGTTAATTAGTGAACTTTGGTGTGCTGGTAGGTAGAGGCAGCTTTTATTTCTTACAATGCTGAACTGTCCCCTTAACCCTCCATGGAGATGACCGTGTGAGTGGCAACAAGTGAGCAAGCTATTTGTTTTTAATTAAAGTACACATACAATATGGTGTGGTTTGCAGAAAAAGCTGTACCTCTGGAAAGAGAAAAAAAATCTCAAGATGATTTGTTAGTATGTTAAAAGCACATCTCGTGTACTCGATAGTATGGGAAGAGTCAAATAAGAAAATATTAACTGGAGCTTTAATCATACAGTATTTGAAAGGAGGGAGAAAATCTATGTTGCAGGATATGGTGAGAGCTTAAAGTAACGAAAATAAGAAATGCACCTTCAAATAAGAATCAAATGAAGTGAGAGCGAGAAAATGAGGAAAGAACATCTAACACAACAGTAACATACCATCAAAAATAAGGTTATGTAAAACTTGAATGCACTCTATGAAGGAAACAGTGATAGTATGTTCTGTTTGAATTACAGCTGTGGTTACGGTGGCCTCATTAGCTACAACCTGAAGTGATTACAGAATTCATGCACTACAGTCCGAGGCTATTTATCCTCACAATAATGTGCGGTTGTTCTGTGGTAAATGGACTGTGCTTAAAGACGAAGTACGGCCTTAACTGACACAGGATGTATGAAAGATGACTGTGTAACTTACCTTCCATCCCAACAGGTCAGCTAGAGCCAAACAGCCATCATCACATGTGCTAATGTGAGCCACATCTCTGGAGAGAAGAACAAAGGACACTAAGTTAGAACCAGGACATGGCTCAATACCAGTTCTTCATTTTCATTACAACACTGACTGTCAATGCCAATACAATATACATCCCCATTAACCCATTCCATACAATCCATCCCATTTTCAGTCTTTAACATCTATTAAAATCTTAATGTGCACTTTGCTAAAGCTATTAATCTGATGCAGCGTTTTGAATATTCTTCATCAGATGTTACAATGAAACTGTGTGAGACTGTAGCTTAACTTTTGCAGTTCAAATGTTCAGTCCATTTATTGTGCTCTTATATTCATGATATCAGACATTTGAGCATCAAACTGGTGCCTTATAAAATTCACTCAAATGAGTTGAATCACTCAAATGATCAGTATAGCACAAATGTAGTAAAGCACACAGTCTCTCAATTAATGATCATCATGGTAAATGCTTTGGCACCCCCTGGTGTTGAAAAGGCAAAGTGCATGATGTCTGTTAAAACACAGACTCCATGCACCTGTTTAATATATCAAATAGTTTATTAATACTTTTGACCCAGTTAATCATTCCAAAAACCATATTCCCTGTTATCTGATCTATATGTAACATCTTATACTGGATATTGGACTGATTCATCTGTACTGGATTCATTCAGATCATAATTTCTGAGATCAGATCAGTTTAGATAAAAGTTGCATTGAGAGGATAAAAGTAATATACTAATACAGCTGGAGGGCAAAGTAGCAGTATCTCTGTATCACCTGTACGCCTTCTCTGAGTCAAAGTCCATCCCTCCTCCAAAACCGAGTAAACCGAACAGAGGATCAGCCTGCACAGAAACAAACACACAAACAATGCTGCACATCTATGGCAGAAAAAAAAGAGTAAGGAAAAAAGCAAAAAAAGGTGGATGGAGGGGTAAAGGCTCACCTGCCCTGTCTTCTCCATGTTAATCAGCAGTCTGGGGCAACTTTTTGAAACCCTAAACAACAAAAGAAACACAGGCGAGAACAGAAAGAACAGGTGCAAACAAACAATTACTTAAACATTACTTTAGTAATTCAGCTGAAGCTCTAAATCAGAGCAATCTACAGCAAGTTCCAAAATGTGGGTAAGTGGGCCATCAGCATCTTCCTCACAGAGACTTCAACAAAACAAAATCATTACTGGACGCAAGCCTGAATCATTTTATAATGCAGAAGAGCCTCACTCGCTGCTAGACTGCTTCATAGTGCCAGGTTATTACTGCAGCAGTGTCTGTGGTCAACAGAAGATTTGGGGGAAATGAAACTGTATCTGCAGTACCTGCTGACTAGACTTGCAAATGGTTGGACCTGCAGAGACGTCCCCATTATGATGAGAAGATCACAGCGAGGAAAGTCCTGACAGGTGGATAAAGACGGTGAAAGAAGTTTATTTCTGAAGAGGTGTTGCATCACATTCTCTTCAATGTGCAAAAACACCACCATGTGCTCACCATCTTCATTGAAGTGAAGAACCGGACAGGTAGATTCTCTCCAAAGAAGACAATATCTGGGTGACAAGAAGCAGGAGACAGAGTCACTGAGATACTGTAGATGGCGACACAATTATTTGGCAGGTCATGTTTGTAAAGTTAGAGATAATAATAGTGTAAGAAAGTTTAAGAAATAGTGTGCAGAAAGTTTAGTAGGCCTTTTAGGAAGTGGAATTAATAAGAAAAATACATGAGAGAACTAAGAAAATGGTGACAGAACTAAAATGACATAGAAAAATAAAAACAAGACAAATAGACAAAGATCCACACACCTGGCTTCACCAAACTGCTGCACTTGTCACATCGGGGAATGTCATCAGAAAAGATTTTATCTACAAAGCAGAGGGAGGAGGTTCAAGTCCATTTGGCTGAAATCACAACAAGTGAATAATCCTGGGCTCCTTTTGTAACATCAAAAAAACACAAAGCAAAAAAAACACCTTTCATCCAGTCCAGGTTGTACTCCGTGCGGCAACAGAAGCTCACACAGTGAGACGTGTAGAACGTTCCATGAGCTTCAATTAGATCCTCACCCTCGAGCCGGCCACACGCTCCAGGGTGTCAATGTTCTGAATGAACACACATATTAATGTAAAAAAACAGTAGAAAGATTCATTGTAAAGATGTGAGAATCTAGCTGGGGTTTTTTCCTACCTGTGTGTAGCAGCGTCTCAGGTGCCCCTTGTCCTTCAGCAGCTTCATGAAGTAGTGACAGACTGTCGGCTAAACAGCAACAAAAGTCAGCCCCAAGAACAAACACCTGTGAGGCAGCTGATTGTTATCTGGAGTTACATTTTAGGCTTAAATGTTCTGATATATTTTAGATTTCACTACATTTTCAACAATGAATATGAGGACTACAAGGCAGCAAGACGTGTTTTGTACCTTAAACTGTCCTGGGTAAAGCTCTTTGGCCAAGGCGAAAAAAGGCTCTGGATGTTTCTGAGATAGACGTTAGAGAAAAATGTAACATTTTGTTGTAGTGACCAGACTTCAGCAAGCACTGCCTCAACTCACCAAACAGGATGGTCTTCAGATGACTGTACAAGGGCATACTAAGCAATTAGCCATATTAGCAAAGACATTTGACATGTGGAAAATAATATATGACTGAAAAATAGTCTGAATTGAACATGTTCCTGGGTTAAGGTTAAGGTCCCACCTAACTTGACTGTTAAACGACTTTCAGAACCTTTTCTTAAAAGTGACAACCTAAAACTGGCCCATTTTTGACATTTGGCAAAACAGAAATCCACAAGACTTGGCTTCTTAGTTAAAGTGATCGTGTTCTAGTATTAATAATCTAATTTAAATTAGAATAATTCAAACCTGTCAAAAACGTTTGAGCCCCCCTGAGAAAGCTGATAAGTGTCATTCTTCAAAATTTCAAACACAGTAATTTTTCACACACCTTAAAGTAGTCTATCTGGAAGATGGCCTCTGGGTAAGGCAAGTTATATTTTTGCAAGTTTGCATACAGGCCAGTTCCCGGTGAGCGGAAATCAGGGATCCCAGCCGCTGTGGATGGAGGGTTACAGATTAAAAATCAGACACACATAAACATAAAACAATGCTTATGGAACACTTGTCCTGTGATGTTAATGAAATACTCACATGTGGATATTCCTGCTCCAACCATGCAGATGATGTTTTTACCTGTGTGGATGCAGAGAAACTTCTGACTTAAATCAATAACGACTGCATTATGATAACAGTCTTTTTAACATTAAACCAATCAACTATGGTCAGCCACAATGGATAGGAAAGAAGCAGGCAAATGACTCACATTTTCCACTCTTTATGTAGCGTGCCACTCCGTCCAGAGTCAACTCATCCAGAACTTTGTCTGCTGAGCCAAGGCCCATGGTGCTGGAGAAGAGATTACGCAGGAAGTCCACTGGCGGGTACACAGAGGAGAACCAGATGATGTGTGAATAAACAAAATACTATGCATCCTGATGAATAATAATAGGATAAAAAATGTAAGCAATACATCTACAGTATAATGGCCTGTGTAGCAGAGACATGTTACATAAAACAGAACATATGACAGTGTAATAATGTACTAGATGGGGTATGAACTGGACAACAACAATTGAACCATTGTTTTCACATACTCTCTGTGTCTCCTGTAGCCTCTTCCTCACTGCTGTCGTCGGATTGCTCCTGCAAAGGAAACAATAAGTTACTGAAATTAAAACCGATGTCTTTCCGAGCAGTAAACATGTGAGTGGCTGCTTTGTTCATCTGAAATCTGCGTTATTAAGAGCTGCCATGTCAGAAGAGGACTGATTGTTCTGATATTACAAAGCTGACAACCAGCTACTTAGCAGCTAACATTCACTAGCTACAAATAAACTGTTTTTCTTACCTCTGGTTCAGGCGTAACCTCCTCTTCTTCTTCTTTTTTAGGAGGTTCTACAAAAGCAACATTAAATACCAACGTCAAAGTCTGCCTCAACAAATATTTCTTCGTGTGAATGTTAATATTATCACATAGCTAGCCAGACTAGGTAGCTCGGTGTAGCACCGTCAGCTTTCACGTCCTCCTACCTGATGTATCAGACATTTATCCGTCTACTGAAACCCTTCAACCACAAGAATCCGGATGACAATTTAAATCCCAGATTTTACGAAGTTACGACAGGTATCCTCGACAGTTTGCGCCTAGCTTGCCCGTCTTGTTGTTGTCCGTCAGAAACAAGGTTCGTGTATATTGTGACCGAATGTCCATGGCATCATTGGTTCCTACCGCAGATCTAACCACTTGATTATCCGTTAAGTGTCCCCTTTAAATCTGTATATTTAACGAACTTACTGTTAATAAACAAGGGTAACATAAGAAATTATTTTTAAAAGTAGGCAATACTACCCAACATGGGGTGTGAAGTAAAATTAGCTCATAAAATCATTTTCATCAGTAGGTATCCAACTAGGTTATTCTTCCTATATGACTATATCGTTTTAACCATCAATATGGCAGATACAGTATTACACAATAGAAATATGCCAATGTATGGTAGATGAAGAAACTTGCATATTTATTGCTTTCAATAAATAAGAATGTAACGCAGCCAGTGACCAGCAAAGGGGTACTAAATAACGAGCCGTTTGGGAGATGCTCCCTTCAAAGATCCCTAATTCCCATCACTATAAATGATATATTTACATACAAAAGGAGCAGGGATTATTTCCATTAACTGTTGTCTCCCAGTCTTACTGCTGTCTTCATCTGACCACTGTGGGCTCATACCAGGTTTAATTTCCTCACGTAAGCTTCCCCAGTGAAGATTAGAAATACAGATACTATGATGTGTTGCAACATGGCTTTCATTGTCTGTTAAACATGACTTGTGGATTCACAGGTAAAGGTCTAATAATCATGATATTCAACAATAAAACCTTTATTTACAATCATATTTACATTTCAGCAAATTAAATCATTACCACATAAACAGACAAAGTGTCATTGGCTTGAGGCAGACATATTTTTACATGTGTTTTGATTTACATCAGAAATGTGCTCACTCTTGACAGTGAGTGGATTCTTGTGGGAAGAAACACATGCAGACTGTGATAACTTATACCATAGATGACAATGCCAAATAACCAGCCAACTTGAGGAAGTACATTCTTCTTTTCCACATGCTTCTATGTAACTGGATGTTGCCAGTGTCCAATCACCTTTGAGCTGGTTCATACTGGTGGAGTGTGTCGAGTCTTATGCAGATGTCAGCTGAATAATCCACATTTTTCTCTGCTGAATCTTCTCTGTGATAACCAGACTGGTTTGATCCAATACTGAAAATAAGCTGTGACGGCTGTACTGCTGCAAAAATCAGACTTATCACCTCTCTTATGCCAAATGTCGCCTCTGCATGCTCTTTGTTCCACAAGCCCCCTTTATGTCAGACTGTGGTAAAATGACAGCAGAGCTTTCTCAGAGGACTGTTTCTCTTTCTGAAGTCCCTTGATTCCTCAGATTCCCGTCCATGCCCATTCCCTACCTCTGCCCATGCACACGCTCCTCTGTCCCCTCTCTTCCCTCCTGCCTCAGGCTGAGGTTGTAGCCAGTAGCGATGATCTGGCACTGTGGTAACATCTCCTCCAGCAAGATAATGACCAATCCAGGGCTTGAAATCCGAGGGAGGGACGACACGTCCAGACGCCGCAGTCCCCTGCACACACATAACACAAAGAGGGAGTGACTTAAAACAACAGCAGTGTTTAAGTAAAAATAACAACTAGGTTGTGAGTGTTTGGATCATTACTTGAGATTCCTGAGTGCAGCCAGGCCGCCTGTAGTGATCCGTGGACAGTGAGAGATGTCCAGTTCCTCCAGAGAGTCTTGCAACATATGGAGCCTAGCCAGGAACCAGTCGTCCACTTCAGGACATCCTTGTAACGACAGAGTACGCAATGATCGCTGCCCCTCTGAGGAAGGACAAAGCAGATCAACAACACTGAACTTAGATGCCAAATAGCATTCAAGTAAATTCACAGTACAGAAAGAGAAAGAGAAAATGAGGTTATAACAGAAGAAAAGTGATTTTCAAAGGAAAAAAGAAAAAGAGAAATGCTGAGTTAGAGCTCAGTACCCAGGTTCGCCAGTCCTGTGTAGTTGATGAGTGTGTAGCTCATGTTAACTTCCTCTAGAGGTGTGTCTTTGTGATCCAAGAACTGCCAATTAAACTTGCCCCTCTGGTCTGCACGGAACCACTCTGGCTGCCCAACAAACCTGAGGACACAACACAGATGTCCACATGAAAACTGGATTACACCGGCACATTTGAGACATGACTATTATATTGCCATCTTTGCTGCATTAATACAAATTATAGGCAAATACATTACATTACATAAACGAACACTGCACACAAATATCGTAATATGCTAATAAAACAGTCAGAAAACGTGATAGGCCAAAGAATCTTTTTTGAATGTTTTCAATGCATTTGAACTAATCTGAAGACATCAAATGCAAATATGCAGAGTCCTGACAGCCAGCTGATTGCATACTGGAAGTCAATTAGTCGATCAACAGAAAATCAATAGACAGTTTTAAAAATTGATTTTTTTTGCTGCTTCTCTCTGTTCATATCATTATAATTTCTATATCTTTGTTTTTTTTTACACAAAACAGTTATAATTGATTATTTGAGAAAATAATTGGCAGATTAATCAATAATAAAAACAATCATTAATTTCAGATCAACTTGAATTAAATGCTTGATGACCGTCAACTTACATGAACTGAGTTCATGCAGAAAAAACAGATATCACAATGCCAAACGCATGAACAGGTTCAGGAAACAGTAGCAGGTAACAGATCACCTAACAGCATATTTCCAATTAGAGCCTGAAGAGTCATTTTAAAACATAAGAAAGAAATTATCTTAAATCTACAGTGTATACATATGTAGTATGTAACAGTGAAGAGGCAAGGCACTTACCTAAATCCTCCCTTCATACTCAAGATATAATATGCTGCTGCTATGTCTGGCCCATAAAACCTCTGAGTGTAGCCATAGTAACTGTGAAAGACAACAGGGAAAAGTCAGAGATGGTCGTCTCGTCACAGCCATTATTTTAGAGCACTAAGTAACTGTATGATTATGACGATTCTTATAAATTTTGTATATATTGTCTCCTTTGTTCCAGAAGGAAACTACAAACTGCATTTCATTTTACAACCCTGTTATTATATGACCGCTAAATTTATCTTCTACCTTAATTAGCAATGCTTATTACAGGCAAGTTCTGTTCTTAATATATAAAAAATGTGTGATGTACTCAGTGGCAATTGTGGTGAACTTCTCCTCTGGGGCACTGTTTTTTAATTGAGCTATAATGCATAAAAATGTGTATTTATCAGTTACTTGACCATAGCTTTAAACTCACAGTATGATGAGGGGTCTCTCACATCAAACTAATCACGGGAGTTGTTGTCTTCATTGTCAAACAGCTGCCATTGCTAATGAAAATGTATCTGACGTGACCATAGACTGTATAAAGCACGTGACTCAGGCAGAAATCATGTTCACGGATGAGGTAAAGTTTTATCAACGTTAAGTTTAGTCACCGCTCTCTGTCTCTCACTTATCCCATGTTGCCCTGAACGTTATAGCAACTAGAGGAGGTAAAGTTATGTTCAGTTAAAAAAAAGGTAGAGGTAATATGAGGTCATTGCCAGACAACCAAATGAAATACACCGTTACCTTGAATAAAATTTTGGTTTTCTGTGGGTTTGAACATTGTTGTGGAAACATTTGGGATAATGTCACTACACAACTCAACAAAATAACATAGGTCTAGTAATATTTAGACATTTTAAAGTGTAAATGTTACATATTACAACTCAGTCAATCACACCTGAGGACTGCAGCCTTTCATTCACCCTGTTTTAACGAAAGTCTACAGAGCAACAGATACCAGCGGCAGCACTGTTAGGGATGCACCTCGACGTTCAAGTCAGCCAAAATGTTGCTTACGCATTCTTCTTTTCAATCCCCCTCCTCCTCCGCTGAAACCTCCAGCTCAGGAGCATCTCCACATCATAGAAACGCTGGGTGAGGAAGAGGAGAAGCCTCGTGTGCAGAGGAGGCGGAGACGCCGAGCTGGAGCTCCATGCTCGCTTAGCAGCCACGAGGAGAGCCCACCGCTGGCAACATCTGTGTACAGACTGTGCAGAGAGACATATTTCATATATATTGAGTTTGTTTTTGTCTTTCTTTTTAAAAAACAAAATCATTTTATTGTTTTTTTTTTTTTTTTATTGTTCACGTGTGACTTTCTGCTTTTGCATATTAAATTGACGGATCTATTTTGCTATATATATTGTTTTAAGTTAGTTTTTTTATTGTTTATATTTATATATTTTTATAATTATTTATTTGTGACTTTCTGCTTTGGCAACATTGTTTAATTGAAATGACAAGAGGTAGAGATTGTCCTCCTGTTCCTGTCAGCTAAAGTAGAAACACGAGCTGTCTGTAAAAATGCGAGAGATACCGCTGTTAGAAATTCTGAAAGAAAAGCTAGTGAATGGCAAACTAAACTCCAACGGATATCCAATTGGCCGCTTTACTAGGTAACAGTGTTAGTTCGCAAACAGTAGCTACATTCAGCACGTTGACTCAGTAAGTTACAGCCTTCTAGCAGAAACAAGCACAACGTTACGATATTACCCTATCAACTGACACGGCCTTGTAACATGCTATAACCTGCCAATTAAAACGAGCAAGGGAAATGTTCTTAATTAGTCGAAATTTCAAGGGTAGCTTACCATGAAGGGGGCCGACATGACAGTACCGTTCAACAGAAAGTCGTAAGGGACAAATGTTGCACTTGCGCGTTTGCGGTCTGTTGCAGTTCAACATCTCAACCGCAGCGTGTCGCTCCATGCACGTCTATGATGCTGACCAGATGAACCTGAGCTGACCTGAGATCCAAACCCAGGAGTCACAAATAAGAAGACAAGATGAGCAGTGGTGTAGCACTAATATCTACCCCATACATAAGCAGCCTCACTGGACCTCCTTTCCCTTTTAATGTATCCATTGTCACGCCTGAATCAGCATATGCATAGAGATTATTAGGGTCATCAGTAGCCTAGTAAAGTCTTCCGTAAAGCTATGTTTTATAATATAATAAATATAATGATATTTCAAAATTTTAGTTAAAAACAAAGTTTTTAGCCAGTGTCCAAGCTTTTTGAGTGCCCTTCACTAATGTGTACTACTGCTACACAATAGACTCTTTAAAGGTTTTCTGTGCAGAGTAATCAGGGAGGAAGGCAGAGTTGTACAGTGCAATTAAATGTTCTTTGCAATCATGGCACTGATCTACTGTAGATTGCGAGAAAAAAAAAATGGCCATACCACTACTGAAATGATTTCCCCTTAAAGGATGTAGTTTTAAGCGGCCACTAGTGGTGTGGTTTTAAGATTGCAACCAGGTGTGTGCTTGTAGGCGTGCTTGCTTGAACTCATGAGCGAGCATAAACCAAAACAAAACTGCTTTCATACAGAGATCCCACAATAAATGCAGAATCACTGGTGTGCCGACTGTGGCTTTTCACAAAGACACATTCAGGCTCTGTTACTTCAACATTCCCGGCTCAGAGGCAGATCAACACCAGCTCGAATATATAGACATATATATCCATCCATATATATATATATTAATCTTACACTAACTGAATCAACCACCCCATGGTGGCAGTCTACAGCCTCAGTCTCCAGGTATTGCTTGTTTATTAAATTTTCCTCCAAGCATTCTCTGGATTTTCTCTTTAATACCACAGGGACAGCTTGAAATACCACTCGTCTGACAGATGTCACACCGAAAAACAAGCAAACCAATACCACACCCACTTTGCTTCTATCACTGTTACACACACAAACATGCATACAAAGACCTCCACAAGCTCCCGCACTCAGTGAGTGAATGTGATGTGACAGACGGCTCACACCTGCTGGTAAAAACAATTAGCAAATGAGATCATTTGCGCTTCTCCTGTGTGTTTGCAGAGGATTGTCGCAGAAAGGAAGCAACAGTGGATTGTGAGCCGAACAGTGGTGGTTTAGTTTGATAGTCATTATGTTGAGTTTCCAGTGAGTAGTCTATATAATGCAGCAATGGTCAACATAAACAAAACATACTGTCAGAATTGTTTTCAAATATTGTTGTGTAACTTGTGTACATGTGTGACATTTAAAAGGTGGGTAACTACATGGTAAATACAAAGATGGGAAAACAGTTTACAGTTCATTAGTTCCTTGGGATTAGTAAATGCGATTGACAAAGGGATGAAAAGATGGAGGAAAATGGCAGTGAGACTTTGAAAGAGTCAAAGTCAAAGCAAATCACATTACTGAAGGGTTGCTAGAATAACCAGATGGACCAGTGAAGTAAAGGGTGACTGGCAGAGGGAATGAATGAATTGATTAGAGAATGGATGGTGGAGTAGATGGATTGCTTACTGAACCAGGATTTCAATGCGTCAACAGAACTGCCAGATGTTTGCATTGTCCTCATGGTGCCTACGTGTGTGTTTCTGTGCAGGTACGTTTGTGGGTGTTTGTCTTGGCTCCTGATCTGTTTGTGCTTTAGAAATTAAATATTCTGCATGCAGCTCTGATTGGAAACATTTACAAAACAAATGACAATGAGATGACATTTTTTTTTTATATCAACCCCCCAGAGAATATTCATGTTTTCAGATCAAAAGCATTTCTCTTTGAACTTCAACCTTACTGTATTTTTGATGGAATTTTTATTCATATCATTTACATGTGGTTTGATGCACTGTATTCATATATATTCATATGTTTGTTTATACTTGTGAATTTTTGATTGTGTCTTAATGGACTTTTGAAAAGCGAACCATGCAGTAGAGTTGTGTTTGAGGTCAACAAAGCGTAATATACACACATATAGATGGCAATTCTGTGCCATAAAGAGAAGCACTGTCTCTTAAATGCTGACATAAGCAAAAAGCTTTAATGCAGTAACTCTATCATCTTAAATATCACCAACAGTGTTGTTCAAAAGCCAAGAATAGTGGTGTTATATCAAATATGGCTTTCCTATCCTTTCCTACATGAACAAAAAAATATATATTGAGTGCTGAAAGACTATAGGGAGTGGGTAAATGTATTTGGAAATGTACGTACATCAACATGACATGCACATGACACCTCAGAGCTGTGGCACTTACCCACATCCCCGTGTTAACATGATTGAAAAGTGTTTTCCTTTTCTCTTGTTTCTCTCTGTGATTAGGATTCATTTTGGAGAAAATGTATGGGGTAAAATCACTGTCAATATCACTGTAAATGCATAGACAATGAGTCACAAATATACTCTACAATTTGTAAACACAAAACACAATTTACCAATGGATTCAAAATTCACAAACTCAATGACCCACAAATAGAAATCACTGACTAGTATCCTATTTATATGTCTGATTTAAACACTGGTTTACCACAGACAGTATGAATATAATCCACAAATGTAGTCAGTCAATCAGATGGATTGCTTCTTTGTGATGCCATGTCGCCTCAATAAGCCCTTCAAAATAAGAGCTGAAATGTGTCAGAACCAATGTATGTGTTTTGTTGTTTTATCCTTATCCATGGAGTTTGTGTTGGAGTCTGTGTTGTGCTCATCACTATGACTATTTTCTTGTAAGCGGGAAGAAGCAGCACTGCTTCCGCAGATGAAGTCTGAGGTTTCCTAATAGCAGCTTCCCTTGTCTCTCCTTATGTCTTACTATGAGTTGCAGTCAGTGATGACCCTGTGGGAAAGCCATTATCCACTCATTCTTTTTCTCTGCCCCCACTTATTCCCTCTGTTTCGGCAGAGATGTGGTAAAGACACACACATACATGCACACATACATGCACAAACCTCTGCAGTGTTCTTGAGACTGTTAGTGGCTGTCAGCATTGTTTTGTTTTGACCAGCTCCCATAAGGCCAGTGGAGTCCGTAAATCTTTACAGTCTTGGCAGGAAAGCCATTAGCGGGCGGTCATACTGGGCCAGTTGCTTAATGCTCAAACTGAGGAACAGTCACTGGGAGGGTGACTGGAGGGCACAAAGGGCACATCAAGCAAACCAACAAATTTCCTTTTACATACGTTTACCTCACTATTTCAAACATAGTTGCAAAATCATTATTAGTTTAGTATGAATATCTGACATTGCAACAATATCCTGTATATATGACAAAAAATAAGGAAATGCATAGTTGGTCCCCTTTAAGTTAATCACAATATATCCTAATTGGCTTCTTCTGTTATGCATAGCATTGCTGGATTATTAGTGTGGTGTGTCCTTATTTATATTTTATACATTCGCTCACCATTTAGATACCTTTGCATCATGTGCGTGCATGTGGGCCTGCACAAGAGCATAGAATCATCATCTTGTTGTCTCTCTTTTCCAAACATCTGTACTAATTTCCATTGACAGAATTAATTACCATGGTGATGAACAGCACAACGACCCAACCCATCATTATACATACCGAGCAATTATTCAGCACCATTATCTTGTAGGGAGATGTCACTCAGAATAGTACGTCAGCCAAAAATAGCATACGCTGGCGGAGCATGTCAAAGGAGGGAGACTGTGTTGACTGTAAAATAATGATATACCTACAATCACTGCTTTTCACTCAGATGTTCATGTGGCGTTGAACACACGGACTTTAGTATACAGACAAAATCTGGCTCGTGCACATGCCAACAGATGCAAACTCCATCAAATGCTGCTGTTTCGGAGATCAGTACTGTCCCTTCTGTGTGACTCTTGAATGAGCAGCTCCCCTGTGGATGTGGACTAATAAATAAAACAGCGAGGTTAGAGTTGGATTTTACATTATGACTTCACATCAGAAATAAAACGTTCCTGCTGGCTCTTCCAAATCCACTGAACAAGCATGTACACTCACCTAGACTAATTAAACATGCTGTGAATTGTGCTCTGTGTATTAGATTTATTGAATTGATAGGAATTAATTGCTAAACATAAATCCCACACACTATTTATCATGTAAAAAGAGCTCTCTAAATCTTTCTATCTCTCATATCTTTCTGTAAGACAGTGGCTGTACATGCTGTGTGAGGATTCCCACTGTGTCGGAGAGAGTTTTCAAAGTGTCAGCTACATAGCAGCAGATAAATAATGCAAAGGAAATAAAAGGCTTGTTTCTGCACGGCAGCTACATGAGCTATGATACATCGGATGTAAGCTATAAACCTCAAAACATCTGATTGTTTTGGCATCTCTGTTTTGTGACTATAGAAAGACTTAAAGACCCTTGCCTTCACAACAGTGATGCTTCAGCTGTGTATGTTATGGGATGTTTTGATGGATCACTTCACTTAATCGAGGTAAATAAAAGCCTGTATTTAATGGAGATCAAATGCAGGGGGCTGTGTTTCACATTTATTCACTGCATTTTACATTCAGGCTATACATAGATGAGTTAATATATTATACATTTCAGTCATTTTATATCCTGTCACATTTTTTTTCATTCCTGTTCTTTCTTTACCCATTTTCTTTAACTTTCACTCCTCCTTTGTTCTTCATGCACTTCACACCCAAAGTCATCTTTCCTCCCTCATTCCTGTATGCTATAACCTCTTTCCGTAACATGCATGTCAGGTTTTTTAATGAATAAATTCAGCTCATGTGTTATCATTTCCGTTCACGTTCTTTCTTAATCTCTCCATCTCTGTCTTTGTCAGCAGAAATTTGTTGAGTTGAGCCTGTGGTGTGTAATAACAGCTCAAACACACACACACACACACACACACACACACACACACAGACAAAGAGC